CATTTTTATATAGAAGATGAATGGTAATTAATGACTGATATTTAAACACGTTATTGTACTCATGATAACACACAACTTTCCCAAACAAACTTTTTTTCTATACTTATTAATTTTATTTTTAGTTTCTTGCTCGACTCTGAAATTTAAAAGCCTCCTAAGCTTAGCAGTTATGCTGGATATCAAGATAACATACAAGGTCGTGGTGGCCCGGAGGTTAAGGAGCCCGCTTCTCATGCATGAGGGTGCGGTTTCGAAACCTGGCAAGGACCAATGTGACTTTTCCGAGTTAAATGTACTTTCTATGATTATTTAGACACCACTGACATATGGCGAAGGTAAACATCGTGAGGAAACCTGGACTTATAATTTCTAATTATAAGTTTGAAATCGCCAACCCGAATTAAACAAGCGTGGTGATTAATGCTTTAACATTCTTTGATTGCACGGTTTGTGCGGTGGCTGGGCAACTGGCTGCCGTGCAACGTGTCGTGGGTCTGGGTGTCATGTGTATGTGACATTGTATGTTTGTAAACGCACCTACAACACAGGAGAAAATTCTAAAGTGGGGCAACGATTTTTTTTTTTTAATAAAAAAAATTCTCCGTTTGAGAAGAGGCCTTTGCTCAGCAGTGGGCACTTATAGGCTAATGATGGTGATTAGTTTTATTTTAAGTTTCTTGCTCGACTCTGAAATTTAATAGCCTCCTAAGCTTAGCAGTTATGCTGGATATCAAGAGAACAACACCAATATACAATAACAGATACAATATATATATATAGTATATAAAAAAATTTAAATTACAGAATCGCTCTTTTATATAAAATTTTTAATCAATCGGATTGCTTGCGTGCGTTCATTTAAATAGTAAAACACACAACCGTCTTACATACATACATGTATAATTTATATATATTTACTATAACAGTTTTAGTTTAGAGGTTAAGTTACACATACCGAGGTTAATTTTAAGATAGGTGGCCATTTTTAAGGGGGTTTTGAACTTTCAAATCTAAAACTATGAAAACTGCTGAACTGATTTCAATAAAACTTGGTTTATACAGGCATATAATATACCAACGACTAAAAACTTAATTAAGAATAGACACAGCTTTGAAAGACAAAAATGTTTTTTTTAAATGTAGGTAATAGGTCGGTAAAAGAGCTGATGCATTACCTGATGGTAACCAATCAGCGCCGCCCATGGGCACCCGCAACAACAGAGGAGTTACGACTGCGTTGCCGACCTTTTGGGAATTAGGAATTGGTGAGGGAAAAGATTGGGCCTCCGGTTACCTCATTCACACGGCGAAACACATCGCTGTGGTTGTTTCACGCCGGTTTTTTTAGGCGTGGTATCGAGCTGGCTCTCCCACACTTAAATGACGCAGACACCACTGACATACGGTGAAGGTAAACATGCATCGTGAGGAAACCTGAACTTATAAATTTTAATTAAAGTTTGAAATCGCCAACCCGCATTGAGCAAGCGTGGTGATTAATGCTCTAACCTTCTCCGTGTGAGAAGAGGCCTTTGCTCAGCAGTGGGCACTTATAGGCTGATGATGATGAAAATATTGAATTCCCGGACTAGGTTGTGTTTCAAAGTATTAGGAATGGTCACCCATCCATAAACATACCTCAGAAACTCTCAATATTATATAGTAAATATATTAAACTATAAGGTATCAATAAAAAAATAAGGAACGTGTTCTGTTTGCACAACAAAATAACTATTTGACAGGAATACTTAATGCCGTTGTAAAGCGTATGCGGTTGCTGGACTTAAATCCCAATATTGGACAAGAGTTAAAATGGCAGATAAAATAAAGTTAATGTATAAAAATTATGCGGTTGACGTTGGCCAGCGTGGACAAAAAATGTTGGACAAAAAATAAAAAGTGGAATAGGGTAAAATGGGTTATAACAGGCCATGTCCAATAGTGGACTTGAAGCCCAGCAGTCCGTACGCGACGCAACGTCCACACAATCTTAAATAACATTATAAACAACGTTTTCCTAATGACAAAATCACGGAGAAATTATAACAACACAGCATGATAAAGTTTTCAAGTTAAAATTATTATTTTATTTTTAATTAATAGTACTAGTAATAATTATAATTAAAAAAAAACAAGAAATAGTACGACTAGTCAAATACTACAAAATGTATTTAACCCCTTGACCGCCATAGTTGGCCATAATAGCCGGCAAACTAAATATACTAAATTATGACGTTTTTAGGTCGGCCATGCTCGATTCGAAATAGCCTATTTTTCGGATGTCGTCTATACCCGACTATGGCGTTCAAAAGGTTGAAAAGGTGTAATATTTATTTATAAATATAGGCTTACATACCTCGAGAATTTTAATAAGTCGGCAAACGAGCTAATTACCTGATGGTAAGCAACCGATTAAAAAAAGGAGCATTTGCGTGAGTTTGGTCCTCAAAAACACTCAAATCATAACGCAAGCGTTGTGTCACGCCAGTTTTCTGTGAGGCCGTGGTATCACTGCGACCGAACCAGACCATTCGTGGCAATATGAACTCTTATTTTAAGAGTATATTTGATAGCGATAATCTTCGAAACTACTGGTCCGAATTGAAAAAATCTTTTTGTGTTCGATAGTCCAATTATCGAGGAAGGCTATAAGCTATAAAACATCACGCTACGATCAATAGCGAAACCACGAGGGAGTAGCAAGACTTTTAAAAACTAAGGATTTTTGTGTAATGGTTTTCTTTTTGTTCATATTTTATTTATAAGGCAGTAAGCTAATAGTCAAATATTACACCTATTTACGGATTCAACTAGTCAAATAAAGAAATATACAAGATACTTCAAAATTAATGGAAGACTATCTAAGGGAACTGAAAAAAGAGGCATTTGGCTAAAAAAAACATACTTTTTTATGACGTTTTAGAAAAAAACTCAGTATAATAATAAGCTATGTTTATTCCAAAATCGATGTGAAATGTTAATAAATCAAGACTAGTAATAAATCTAGAAGAGTAGGCTACGCGACGTCGCCGCGTCCGCGCACGCTGCTCACGAGGAAGAACCCATCTGTGGTTCGAAACTAGTAGAGCTTTTCTCAATATACACACGTGAGTAACCCGCGATTTTTAGTTAATTTAGTATGTCTCACGATAGTTATTATAAAAACAAATCTAGACTTATGTTATATGCTAGAGTTCGCTTATTTATTTGAACGCGCTAATCTCTAAAACTACTGGATAGATAGTCTATTTAACTAGAAAGGTTTATAGGTTATAAAACATCACACTACGACCTAAAGGAGTTGATATTTTCAGGAATTCTTATGAAAGTAAAACTTTGAAAAGTAGAGGGTACAATTAAATATTTTAAATAATCACTTGAACCTGCCCCTTTGGACCGTAAGCGTAAGTTATAAAAAATCTGGAGAAACCTGAACCTGGTTAGCCCTAGTTCTAAGTAACAAAACGATAGAAGAAAAAGAAACTACTAGTTTTTAGAACTTTTTTGTGAGGGGTAAATCATCAAATGACTTAATTCGCCCAGGGCCGGGCGGGAGAGAGTGTCAGACTCTTACTGACTAAAAACCCCCTTGTTCCTTCTCCTGCTCTAGGCCGAGGCCGCGGTGCCTCATTGGGCTTACCCCGCAACCCCGACTAAGGGACCTTATAGGTGGCATGTTTATGAACATTTCACATCGATTTAAGATGCATCTATACTAATATTATAAAGAGGTAAAATTTGTAAGTTTGTATGTAGGGGGTAATCTTTGGAACTGCTGGTCGGATTGCCAAAATTCTTTCACTGAAAGATAGCTACAATGTTCCTGAGTGCTATAGGCTATAAAACATCACGCTATGATTAAATGGAGCCGAGCAGCGGGTGAAACCGCGCTAGAATAGCTAGTAATTATATAAAACAAGCAGACCCAGCCACGCGTTGCTGTGGCTAAGGTAAATAATATTGTGACTATAAATTGAGATGTAAGCTATCCTATCTTTTGAGTTGGATCAAAATGCAAACGGAATGAAAATCAAATTTAAAATCGGTTTAGTAGTTTAGGAGTCCATCGCGGACAAACACGTGACACGAATTTTTTATATATAAAGATTTCGATGTAAAAAAAGGACCTTCTTCTAACAATCCCTCTTAAAAAAGACTCCCATTAATTAACAAGTATCTTAAATTAGAAATTAATTAAAAAAATAACTTATATATATATATTCATATGTATGTATGAATTTTGAAATTGTGATATTTTAAAAACGATTCTGAGCTAAAGGTATTTTTTTTTCAATTAATATTTAATATTATTTTTTTATAATAATAATAATATTGTAATAGTAAATTTTATTTATTTATTTATTTAAGATTAACACAATCGCTTCTACATGTACTGTGAATTCTACGAAATTCTCTAATATTGCTTTTCGTACGAGGTCGTCCGTTTTCGGGGTGAAACGGGGGTCGATGACAATTTACGAGTGAATTGAAAAAATGTTTCATTTTTCTAAAAAGTTATACTTAAACATTTTACTACAAGTATTACTATTTATATATACATATATAAATTCACAATACACATAAAAACTTTCATATTTCATGAAACAGCGATTCAGTAAAGGGATTTTTTTACATAACGAAATTATTTTATCTATACTCACAAAAAATACCAAGCTGAGATGTATGTATGTTTGTCTCCTATCGTTTAACGGCACAACGTACCACGGGTTCGATTCCCGGACGGAACAACTCTTTTTGTGATCCACAAATTGTTGTACCGAGTCTGGGTGTGATGTGTTTGTAAACAACCATTGTAATACATTAACAACAGATTTATTGAATTGCCCACTCCTTAGAACGTGTTTTAATCGTAGCAGAATTAAAAATAACTTATTGCTATAATTACGAGCCCCGGTTATAGCTCGAAACCAGTCGAGCATCCTCGAAGCATTTCATCAAGAAATACAAGTCTAATATTCATTCATTTCCAAACCGAAGGACTAAGCTTTTATAACATATGAGTCTATCTCCCTCTACTGTGTATCGCTGTCTCTGTCCTACCTCTAGAGCTTTAGTACTGAGTTATGACGTCATCATATCGCTAGCGTTCCCGCCGCCGCTTACGCCGGCCGTTCCCTTTAGTAAGTTGTTGATATCACGACGGAACATTGAGAGGTTTTGTGTGAATCTGTAAGAGAAATAAATTACTTGGTAAGTAAATATTTTGAAGGACACGTTTAAACACTTTCGACCTTATTACAAAACAAGGTTTTACTTTAGTCTGGGACTAAACCATTGAGCCGGTTTTCGTATTTCGAATTGAAGGTAGATGACAATAAGATTCAAAATTCAAAACCCGACTCAATGGTTTAAACCTGGACTAAAGATAAACCTTGTTTTGTAATAAGGGGGTTTATGTGGCGCATTGATCATTCTGCTACTTTTTTAAGTGTTGGAGAGCCACGCTTTGGCATGATTGGGTCAGCTCGATAACACGGCTTCACAGAAAACCGGCGTAGCGACACACGGCGAAACATACACAGCGGTGTGTTTCGCCGTGTGAGTCAGGTTGCCGGACGCCCAATCTTTTTTTCTAATTTCATTGAGATTGATGTCAAAAAGACTTCTGCGCAGTTGGCTTCGGCCCCTGATACGCCTGCCCAATGAACGGGACCCTATTTTTGTGAATCAGCTTCTCTCGCCCAAGGTCTCTTACTGACTAAAAACGCCCCGTGCCTTCTCCTGCTCTGGGCCGAGGTCGCGGTGCCTCATTGCGCTTACCAAGCAACCCCGGCTGAACATCAGCTTATAGGGCCCCGTCTGTGGCGATCTATTGGCTTTTTGGGGCGCGCGCGGAACGCTACGCTCCGTACGCTCGGGTCTGGTTCTAACCGGGCCGCGAGCTACCCTTACTCGCCGTGCTTACGATGGCAAATGACCGGGACCCTAATGGTCTCGTAAATCATCAATGTCCTAAAAACGGCCCTATAGGGCCCTGTCTGCGGTGGTCTATTGGCTCTTTGAGGCGCGCGCGGAACGCTACGCGCCGTACGCTCGGGTCTGGTTCTAGTTGGGACTTACGGTGGCAAATGACCAGAACCCTAATGGTGGAAAAACTAGTAAAATGTTGTCCAATAACTCACCTATCTCTATTCTTAGTCAGCAAATTAGGTTCGATCCCCGTCATGAGGCCGTTGAACCACTGCGCTAGTTCGGCCTGCTTGTCCCGGGGCTGCTGGGCGATCATGTCCTGGCGTATGCGGGCAAACTGCTCCTCATTGAGGAGTATTAGGCCGAGGAGGGGGCGAGACATCGACCACTGATTGCAGCAGTCTTCGAACATTATTACGTTTAATACCTGTGGAGAAAATGTATTTTAAACTAGGTTCTCTCGCTGTTTCATTTGCTGCTCGGCTCATACAAATCGTTGCGTGATGTTTTATAGCCTATAGCACTGTTAGTTACGCTATTTATAGCTCAAGAACGGCTGAACCGATTTGGCTGAAAATTCGTAGGGAGGTCGCTAAGAACTGGGAGAAGGGCATAGGATAGCTAGAGTCGGATAGGTAAAGTAGGGTAGGTAGAGTAGGGTAAGTAGAGTAGAGTACCTAGGTAGAGTAGGATAGGTAGATTAGGGTAGGTAGAGTAGGTGGAGCAGAGTACCTAGGTAGCGTAGGGTAGGTAGAGTACGGTAGGTAGAATAGGGTAGGTAGAGTAGGGTTGGTAGGGTAGAGTAGGGTAGGTAGAATAGAGTACCTAGGTAGAGTAGGGTAGGTAGAATAGAGTAGGGTAGGTAGAGTAGTGTTGGTAGTCAAATGACGGGAGCGACGCCTCGGGTAAGAGCTAGTTAGTTATACAAGATACATATAAAACATAAGATTTGATTAATTTTACGTACCGTAGCGAGTAATTGTTGCATGATCTCGGGGCGTCGTTGTAGTACTTCTATGAACATGTTGCTCGTCTCCGGAGGCGGCTGGCGAGGGTTCGATACTTTGTTGCTAGCTGAGGGGAAAAATTGTTATGTTAAATTAATATTATGGGCATTGGTCGGCAAATGAGCAAACGGATTACCTGATGGTAAGCAATCAGCGCCACCCATGGACACTCGTAGTACCAAAGGAAAGGGTGTGTGTTTTAAGTGTGGGAGAGCCAAGCTTCGGCACGAATGGGTCGGCTCGACCGGAGTGATACCACGGCCTCACAGAATACCGGCGTGAAACAACTCACAGCGTTGTGTTTCGCCGTGTGAGTGAGGTTATCGGAGGCCCAATCCCTCCCCTTTCCCTATCTCTTCCCAATCCTTATATCCGCAAACCCCATCCCCAAAAGGCCGGCAACGCACTCGTAACTCCTTTGGTGTTGCGGGTGTCCATGGGCGGCGCCGATTGCTTACCATCAGGTAATCCGTCTGCTCGTTGGCCGACTTATACCATAAAAAAAGGAATAACAAGTGCGTTGCCGGCTTGAGAATGGGGTAGGGGGAAGAATTGGACCTCCGGTAACCTTACCCACACGGTGAAACACAACGTGTTGCTTCACGCGAGTTTTCTGTCGCAGAAAGCAACACTAACGTCGTGTGAGTGAGGTTACCGGAGACCCAAGCACTTCTCCCCCCTCGTCTATATTTAAAACCCCTATATGTAAATCCCTAATAATCTATGAGAGGCCGACAACGCACTTGTAGTAACTACTTTGGTATAACGAGTGTCCATGGGCGGCGCCGACTGCTTACCATTAGGTAATCCGTCTGCTCGTTTGCCATGCTATCACATAAAACTCAGAAATTCTTAGACCATTCTTTTTTTGTTGCACACAAACACACACTTTGAATGCCGGAGATCTATGCTTCATCACGGATAGCCCACATCGACCAGTGAGACCACACTCAAACACGACGTGAAACAACGGTTGAGTTGTTTCACTTTGTGACCTAATCCTTCCTTCGAATCCCCAACACCCCAAAATCCCCAAATCATCAAATTCCTAGCTCCAAAGTCAAAATTCGAAGTCGTAGTAACTGCTAAATGTTGGTGTCCATGGATGGCGCTGATTGCTTCCTATCACGTAATTCGTCTGCTCGTTTGCCAACCTAATACTTAAAAAAAAAAATGATGAAAAAAAATTAATACTTACATTTTTGGACCAATTGTTTGAATAGGTAGGTAACTATATGATCTAGCGTTGCACAGCAGCCCGTACATACACTGGTATCTGTTTTTAAATACACAATTATCAAAAAAATAAATCAACTAAAATATTCATGCAAAACATTTTTTACATATCTCGAGCCATTTTCAATATTAAAGTACAAAATAATCTCAAAATCTATACTTGAAATAATGATAAAGTTAATATTATATTTCATAAATTATTTTCTTTAGGGCTGATTTTTCAATGGTTAGATAAAATTTACCTGGGGAATAATTATGATGCTGTCGCGTCAGAATGTTTGTATAAGACAGGGACAGCAACAATTTTTTTCGTCAGATAACATTTATCTGACTATTGAAAAATCAGCCCGTAATCAAATGGATGGGTAAGGACATATACATATATAGTGGTGGTAGCCCTGAGGTTAAGGCTCCCGTTTTTCATACATGAGGGTGCGAAACGTGGCAAGTATCAATGTAACTTTTTCCAAGTTATATGTACTTTTTATAATTATTATTATTTAGACACCACTGACATATGGTAAAGGAAAACGTCGTGAGGAAACCTGGACTTTTATTTATTTATTTTTTTTTTTTTTTATTTATTTACTTACTACTTATATAATTTCTAATTATAAGTTTGAAATTGCCAATCCATGAGCAAGCGAGTTAACTAATGCACAAACCTTCTCCGTGTGAGAAGAGGCCTTTACTCACCAGCGGGAACTTATAGGCTGATGATGTGAAAAATAAATGAAGGACGTGATACGTGTGGGAGAGCCAAGCTTCGGCACGGATGGGTCGGCTCGACCAGGGTAATACCACGGCCTCACAGGAAACCGGCGTGAAGCAAATAGCAAGCAGTAGGCGCTTATAGGCTGATAATGTGATAAAAAAATGAAGGACGTGATACGTGTGGGAGAGCCATGCTTCGGCACGAATGGGTCGGCTCGACCGGGGTGATACCACGGCCTCACAGAAAACCGGCGTGAAGCAAATAGCAAGCAGTGGGCACTGATGATGATTTTTTATTGATGAAAACGCGTCACAGAAGACACGTGTCTGCTTGGGTACTTAGAGGGCTAGTAAAACTTTGATATATGAACAAAGGAGTTAGAATATGCTTATCATTATTTAGTATAGATTCTGATAAAAGGCGTCTGATGATAAAACCTTTATTTAAAGAATAATCTATCCTATAATTAAATCGCTGACGAAAGCTCAGAGTTAATTGACATATGGAGAAAAAAGTTTTTAAATATTACTATAAAAAAAAATCAAAAGTACTTATTCAAAAATCAAAATTAATAGTCTCAAGTGAGCCCATTAACCTCCATGACGTTTTTAATATAATAAGTATACTTAGGGCTGATTTTTCAATGGTTAGATAAAAGTTACCTCGAGAATAATTATGATGCTGTCGCGTCAGAATGTTTGTATAAGACAGTGACAGCAACAATTTTATTCCTCAGATAACATTGATCTGACTATTGAGAAAATAGCCCTTAATATATGAATTTTCGATATAATCTCAATGATACTTTACCCGATCCGGGAATCGAAACCGGAACCACTATTTTTCTAAATACTTCAAATTCGTTATATACGACCGAAGCTAGCTCTTACAATAGTTTGTGAAAAGTACTACAAATATCATAAATGTAAATATGTATGTATGTATTTATGTTGCTCTTTTACGGAAAACTACTGACAATAATTGAATGAAATTTAACACAGGAATAGTCTGGAAAAACGTGGGAGCACGAGTAGAAACTAGTATTATCATATTTCTAAAGTAAATAGAACTTTTTTCTCCATTAGCCAATAAAAGAAAAGTCTTATATTACAAAGTTACTTATTGCAAAGAAGGTGTATTTTAAAATATTATTTTAAAGCAAGTTTTATGAAGATGGTGGGAAAAAAATGATGCTAAAATATAAAAGCAAATTGAATGAAGAAAGTGAATAAAATGATCGTAATTTTTAAAGCATTTTTTTTATGAAAAACCAAGGTTTTATCAGCTGACGCTACTTGACACGGCCCGCGCAATCTCCTTTCGAATTAACACCTTATTACAAAACAAGTTTTTCTTTAGTCTGGGTCTAAACCATTGAGCCAGTTCTTGTATTTTAAATGGAAAGTAGTTTTTTTGTGAGAGGAAAATCATCAAATGACTTCTCCCGCCATTATGGTCACTCTAACTGCATCAAAGAGCCAATAGACCACTACAGACGGCACTATAGGGCTGATGTTCAGCCGGGGTAGGGTGAGGCACCGCTACCTCAGCCTAGAGCAGGTGAAGTAACGGGGGCGTTTTTAGTCAGTAAGAGTCTGACACTCTCTCTCGCCTTACCATGGGCGGGAGAAGTCATTTAATGATTTTACAATGAAAAAAAGGGTCACTCTTACTGACTAAAAACCCTCCCATTTTTTTATCCTGTTTTGGGCCGAGGGCGCGGTACCTTATTGAGCTTACCCCGGCTGAACATCAGCCCTATAGGGCCCCGTCTGTCGTGGTTAAGGTGAAGGTAGGTGAGAATAAGGTTCAAAATACAAAATCTGACTCAAAATGTTTTTATAATAACTATCGTGAGACATACTAAATTAACTAAAATTCGCGGGTTACTCACGTGTGAATGTTGAGAAAAGCTCTACTAGTTTCGAACCACAGAGAGGGGTTCTTCCTCATGAGCAGCGTGCGCGGACGCGGCGACGTCGCGCAGCCTACAGAGCTTTTCTCAACATTCACACGTGAGTAACCCGCGAATTTTAGTTAATCTGACTCAAAAGTTTAAGCCAAGAGTAAAGATATATCTTGTTTTCTAATAAGGGGTATAGGCTCGAACCTATTTTGTTTTTATTTTTTTTTAATACTCAACTTCTCGTTTATCTGGTGAACGACTAATTGTAATGAATGTTGACGTTGCGTCTGACTTTTCGTGGTCCTTTTTACGACGATCTAAGCATATAAAATACCGGCAAAAATTAAATTTTGAAAATCATATAAATATTGAATTAAATTTACAAATATCAGAATAGGGCAGTTTCCTTTGACAAAAAATTTGAATAATTTTCGACTTTTCAATGCAATAAAAAATATTTGACGATATATTTTGTTTTTATTTATTTTGTGGTTTACCTAATTAGGAGTTTTTGTTGCCACTTTCTTAATTAAGTTTTAAATATATTCAATTCTATATGGTACACAGTAACTCTATAAATTTTATGAAACAGCGTTTTCTTTTAAGAAATTATTATGTGAATTGACTATGCATTCGTTGCACTCTTGCATTGTTATAAAACCTCTTTGCATTCTTATAAAATAAAGACTGGATATTAAAAAAAATCTTTTAGGAAAAATATATTAGATATTTTTAACATATTTTTCTAGTATCTTTTAACAAAGAAAATAAGCTGTTTGACGTAAAAAATAACGACATCCGAACACATTTAATTTACCTAATACACGTATAAAATTCATAAGTCAAGTCAAATCATTGATTATATTTCGAAAGAAATCAATATGAGTTTTGAATAGAAATTTGACAGGTTGGAAACTTCCTTATTTTGATATAGGTAATAATAAAAATGAAAGTATTATAATTTTGGGCCAAATAAAACAAAATTTTAATCGTTGAGCATGCATGAGACTTATGATGATGATGATGAAGCGGAAAGAATCAGTATATATGACAGAAACGTGACATTTGAGGATCTATGTCTATCCCAATGGGGGGCAGGCGTGACGACATGATTTTTTTACAAAATGTAATTGACTGTTTTTTTTTGAGACAAAATCATCTGTTGACTACTCCCGTCGCGGATGAGGCAAGAGGATTTTTTTTATGTAATTGGTCGACAAACGAGCAAACGGATAACATGATGGTAAGCAATCAGCGCCGCCCATGGATACTCACAACAACAGATGAGTTACGAGTGCGTTGCCGACCTATTGAGGATTAGGGATTTGCAGATTTAGGGATCAAGGACGGATTAGGGGAGGGAAAAGATTGGGCCTCCGGTAACCTCACTCATACGGCGAAAGACAACACTGTGGAAATTTCTGACTCTTACTGAGTGAATTCACCCCTTCCTGCGCGAGTATGTGGACAGCGAGCAAGAGTAGCTCGTCGCCCGACCAGTCAAACGCAATTGGGTAGTTTCCTAGGTCAAAAATAAATTAATTCGACGTTTCAATACAGTAAAATAATGAAAAATAGCTATACTTTTAACTAAATTCATCGACCGATCGATACACTAAGTTTTAGATATTTTGTAGCTAATTATTAAGAAATAAGTACAGTACGGCCGCCGTATCTTGGCGAGTCGAAAGTTAACCGTTTGTCTGCGCAATGGATCTTTTAGGAACAAAATTGTGTACTGTGCAGCTAATCGGCTAACTTCAGACTCGACAAGATACATTGGCGGTATTGTAAGCTATTTGACGCCAAAATGTTATGACGTCATAACTCAGTTTTTCATACAAATTTGGATATAAGTATTGAATTTGACTAGTTGGAAACTACCGTATTATGCAGGGAGGCCCCGATTTGGAGCAGGAGTAGGTATGGGATGATTTTTAGACAGTAAGAGTCTGACACTCCCTTTCTCCCTGGGCGAGAGCAACTTGAGATTTCATCTGTCTTACAACATATCATTATAATAAAAAAACACGCCTTTAAATCTCCATAGGGATAGACAGAGACGAAAATATGTATCATTGTTTAGATTATGAAGCTCCATGCAACAGAAATTTTATTGCTCATACGAGATTATTAAAAAAAGAAATTAACACAACCCCGTATAACTGTGCAACTTATATATAACTAATATTATAAACAGCAAATTAATTGTTGTTCTATTGATTTTTCATAAAATAAATTCATCAAATTCTGAGTCAACATTTCTTAGGGATATAACATTAAAATTTTATTATTAGATTTTTTCACTATATCAACTGAATATTTCATATAGAATTAGTTTGGATCAACGTTCGCCTTTTGTTATTTTATCCAAGACTGGCTAAAAGAAAAACATTATATTTGAGGAACCTATGCTGAAAGCCGAGCTGTTGGATTCAGATTTCCCGGAAAGAGAAGAGTAATTGAATGATACGTCGTGGACTGATGGCTGCTAAAAGGGGGTCACTATTTTACTTTTGCCTCCTTACCATTGTGATTTTAACCCGACTGAGTTAGTATGGGCACAGGAAGGTGCCAGGGAAAGTAGCTAAAAATAATAAAGCTTTTAAAATGCACGAAGTCCAGAATTTAATTTCGGTCTTTCGGTCAATACCGGTCGCGGGACTTTACTATTTATGAAATGGAAAAAACTTGCAACACTCGAAATGTCAAATCGTTGTCTCTAATTATGGAACGAACTATAGTTGTAATATAATTTTTACCAAAACTTTTACAATGTCGAGAGACTGACTTGACGAAGGCAGCCGAGAGTTGTGAATAGCTTCTGACTCACGTGACCTTTGCGTGAAGTTCAGTCCCAAGATATTTGTCTGGGCTTATGTACAGTAAGCACCACAAAATAATAAGTTGACTTATAATCTGATGAATTTTCAAACAAAATTTGTTTATGATAATAGTTATAGTTACAGTATTTCGCGATAAATAGCGCAGACTGACCTTCGGAAAGAGACAAATGGCTAAATATCCTCAGGCAGGATAGGATAGGGTAGGTAGGGTAGTGTAGGTAGAGTAGTGTAGTTAGTGTAAGGTAGGTAGGGTAGGGTAGGATAGGGTAAAAAGGGTATGATAGTGTACGTATTAAGTCGGGAGCAAAATAAAAAGAAAGCTAATTACATTTTTTTTATGTAATAGGTCGGCAAACAAGCATACGGATTACCTGATGGTAAGCAATCAGCGCCGCCCATGGACACTCGCAACGGAGGAGTTACGAGTGCGTTACCGACCTTTTAGGGATTACGGATTAAGGATTTGGAAATTTAGGGATTGAGGAGGGATTGGGGGATTTCCAAAAGTCAGACAGCACGCAGCAATTATACCGAGTCTGATATGAGAGTGATGTGTTTATGAAAAATGTATGTTTGTAAACGCACCCACGACATAGTTGAGAATCTTACATTGTGGGCCGATGTTTTTTAAAGAAACAAAACTTACCTAATGCAGTTAATCCCTCGGAGATTGAGCATAGAATGTAGAGGGTTGCCTCGGGTTGTAATGACGCTAGGAACGGCATATGATCTTGGGCAAGGCGTTCTAGTAGGACGTAGTATGTTTGAGACAGCTTCGGGTAGTCCTGTCGACAATTATGGATATTATAGAATTTTTAAGTAGTTTAAGGGTGGGAGAGCCATGCTTCGGCACGAATGGGTCGACTCGACCGGAGTGTACCACGGCCTCACAGAAAACCGGCGTGAAACAACCAAGTGTTTCTCCGTGTGAGGTTACCGGAGACCTAATCCTTAATCTCCAAAAGGTCGGCAACGCGCTCGTTACTCCTCTGGTGTCCATGGGTGACGCTGATTTGCTTACCACCAGGTAATCCGTCTGCTTGAGTGCAGACTTCATATTTTTTTTTTGTGTAACAGCTATATTTGTGAAATTAATTAAGCAAACCGTAGGCAATGTTTTTTTAATGTGGTAGCACGACAAAGGAGCTGACCATTTAATAAATCGGCGCCACCTATGGACACCCGCAACCCCAGAGGAATTTAGAGTGGGTGACTCATTGCGCTAACCCCGCAACCCCGGCTGAACATCAGCCCTATAGGGCCCCGTCTATGGTGGTCTATTGGCTCTTTGAGGCGCGCGCTGTACGCTACGCGCCGTACGCTCGGGTCTGGTTCTGGTCGGGCGGCGAGCTCCCTTACTCGCCACCCGCAGACCCGCGCTTACGGTGGCCGGAGATCATCTCTCGATGCTCAAAGCCCTAACAATCCCACAAAAAGGGGCAAGGCACTTGTAATTTCTGGTGTCCATGGACGACTGATTGCTTGCCATCAGATGACCAGGCCGCTTGTTTGTACGATAAAAAAGTTTAAATATAAACTCACCAGTAAATCGCTCTGAGGTATACTGAGTAGTAGTTTGACGAACATATTCAGCGCGTTGTCTAAAGCCTCATCGCCGTAAAATCTGTAAAAATAAAGTATATAACAAATTTTTTAGTTCTGGAGATTAGTGCGTTCAAACAAAGAAACAAACTCTTCAGCTTTATAATATTCGTATACATGAAAAACACTACTTATAACAGTTTCTCTCGCGAAGAAAGGAAGGGTCAGACTCTTAGTCAAAGTCAAAAGTCAAAGATCATTTATTTCAATTAGACCCATACAGGCACTTTTGAACGTCAAACAAAATTTTAAAGACAAAGTGTCAGTCTGTCGGTCAGTCCTCTTAGTGAAGCTATTTGCTCGTTCCAAAGTGTAGATTCCTATGGAGAAGAACGAGCAAGAAACTCCACGGTTACTCTTTTTAAATCAGTTTTTGCATTATATTTCTTTGTTACCTTTATTATTATTAATAATAGTTTTCCATTCTAACGAACTTGAAGTATTGAGGCTGGTACAGATCTCCATGGTTACTTTTTTAAATCAGTTTCACATAAAGACTCTTTGATACATTATTTACTTACTGACGAAAAAACCTCCATTCCGGAATGAAAGATTTTGACTGTAAAGAGATTATAATTTACCTGAATACTCCGAAATTAGCGTAGCTCCCGCATAGTGCAGCCTTGAGTATGGAGAAGCATAGTGATATTCCTTTAAGTTTCATTGCATACATTTGTTTCTTGTTGACGTCTATTGTTAGTATTCGGCTACCTGTAAAATGTAATATCAAGCATTTAAACTGCTGTAAGGGTTGATGATTCAGACGACCTGATTAAGGTCGCAGGAAGCCGCTGGAAGCAGGTCGCTTCCAACCGGCCTATCTGGAAGTCAATGGGGGAGGCCTATGTTCAGCAGTCGACGTCCTGTGGCTGATATGATGATGATGATGATGAAGGGTTGGGTAGAAGAGGTGGTAATACTAACTATTGGAACTTAATTAAGAAATTAACTTAAGACATGTTTTAAGCTCTGCTGGAATCAGGTCATTATCGCTTGGGCTGAGTCGTCATATGCTTAAAATGACCCATAGTCGGGTGCGCTGAGTTGTTCGGTTGCTAAAAAGTGGATAATCGGATGGGTGGGCTAAATTACTATCAAAGGCAGGAAACAACCAATGACTTGTATTCCGCCGTGTGATCGAGGTTTCTTCTTCTGATTCTTCTTTTAAGAAACAAATACATAATCCTATTTGCATGAATCGCAAAACCTTTTTTATTTTATTTAAGACTTCATGGTTGTTTTTTTAATAGAAATTATTTTGACAGTTGGGAAAGAAAAAGCACGAGTGCGAGAAAGGCAAAAAAAAAGCACGAGTGTGAAATAGCCCAGATCCCGAACGCTACACGTCCCTGCAATACGCCACGTTTTGAGCAACTGTATTAAAAAAGTATTTTTTAAGTTTAGGTGAGTCTGGCTTCGACACGAATGTTCCGGGTCGACCGGTGTGATACAACCGTCTTGTAAAGACAGACATGATGCCACTGTTTAGTCAAGCCTTATAATAGGCCTTCTCCCGTCCTCAATCACTGCCAAAAGGGGGGCGACGATTGCTTAACATCAGATCATCCGTCTATCTATACGTCCGCTGACGTATTCTATACAAAATACTTGGAAGGTGTCAAGAGACCCGGATGGAACGATGGTCCTTTAAATTTATTTGTTACACGTATTTTTTCAGTAAGAGTGTGAATGAAAGAGAGACATAGAGACAGAGAGAGAGAGAGAGAGAGAGAGAGAGAGAGAGAGTCGTTACAACTTTTCGCCTAATTTTTTTCATATAAGAGTTAAGACCACGGATAAGGAATTTCCTTCCAAAAAAACTCGGAATAAGTAAACTTACCATATCCACAAATAATATTTGAGAGTTCCCTAAACAGTAATATTCCGTTTGGCGAGGAAACGTCAAATTGTAGCCGCTGGTTCCTGTTCTGCGCGAGCTCAGCCGTCAGCTTGAGGACCGGAGTCGTCACTGCTGGGTCCGCGAACCAGACCTCGATACCTCGGAGCAACACCTTCATGTATACCGGGTAGCTGGGGAGAGATATTGAGGAGGTTATTTTCTCTTATGGAATAGGTCGGCAAACGAGCAGACGGATTACCTGAAGGTAAGCAATCAGCGCCCTTGCCTTGGAGTTACTACAAGTGCGTTGCCGGCCTTTTAGGGATAAAGGTTTCTGATATTTAAGGATTGGGAAGGGATGGGTAGAGGGGAGGTATTAGGCCTCCGGTAATCTCAATTACAGCGAAATACAACTCTGTAATTGTTTCACGCCGGTTTTCTGTGAGGCCGTGGTATCACTCCGTTCTACCCAACCCATTTGTGCTTGGTCGTATTTCGCCGTGAGTTAGGATACCAGAGGCACAGTCCCACCCCACAGCCCCCATCCCTTCCCAATCCTTAAATACCCGAAACCCTTATCCCCAAAATATTTATCCTTCATCTATTAAAAAACCACATCAAAATCCGTTGTGTAGTTTTAAAGATTTAAGCATGCATAGGGATATAGGGACAGAGAAAGCGACTTTGTTTTATATTATGTAGTAATACATTATTCAAACGAATATAATAAATGCGAAAGTAACTCTGTCTATCTGTCTTTTCTTCACGCCTAAACTACTGAATCGATTTTTGCGAAATTTGGTACAGACATAGTTTGGAACTCGAGAAAGGACATAGGATAGTTTTTAAACCAAAAATCTGCAGGAAGTCACTATTACACGCGAACGAAGTCGCGGGCAAAAGGTAGTGTAAATAAATATACTTACATCCAATCAAAAAGCATCATATACGTAGTTTTTGTACTGAATGCAAACGCGAGGCCTCGTAGATCTCGTGCGAGGCCTATTAAAGTCTTCTTTGCGTCTTCAGAATTATACATCGCAGTGTCAGGCCCGTTGAGAAGGCCTATTATACTCTCAAACGCCGCTATAGAAGAAGAAAGATTTTTAATTTATAACACACATACATATGTATTGTCAGATAGATATTTTAAGCGTATAATTGTCTGTAGGTAACATGATATCTTGATATCTATAATATAAAAATGAATCGCAAAATGTGTTGGTAAGCGTAACTCAACAACGCCTGGACCAATTTTGCTAATTCTTTTTTTGTTGTGTTTGTTATAGTCAGGAGAAGGATTTTATCACAGAAAATATTAGAAAAGTAGAGGGGAAGATTAGGAAAAAGTGACCTTTTGATAACGAGATAGTTGGACCCGTGCGAAGCGGGGGCGGGCCGCTAGTCTTCTATAATATAAAAATGAATCGCAAAATGTGTTGGTAAGCGCATAACTCATCAACGCCTGAACCAAATTTGCTAATTCTTTTTTTGTTGGGTTTGTTGTTATAAGGAGTAGGTTCTTACGAGAGAAATCTTTAGAACAGTAAAGGAATAAAGCGGTAATTTACAACTCTTTCGACGCCGTGGTCGTTCGCTTGCAAAACAAATGACTGGCACCAGGGAAGTCGGGTACCCGTGAGAAGCAGGGGCGGTCTGCTAGTTTCTTATAAATTTCATACAGTCATTAAAAACAACATATAAATGTGAAAATGCTATAACTATTGTGTGATTAGATTCATTTTAATACAAATAAAGTAGCTGGTTGTCTGTAGGCAGAATACTGCAGTTTCTAACTAGTCAAATACATTTTTTTTTTGTACAAAGATTAAAAAAAAAATGTTTTTTAGAACGGCACATACATACAACACAATACACGGCAAATTCCAAATGGCAAGATAGTTAGCTGTCACATTAAAGTTTAAGTTATACAATACAATACTTCTATCAAAATATCAAAATCCATACTTTTCTATGAAACTCCGAATTATTACGTCACAGTATCTTTGCATCAAATAGCTTACTTATCTGTTAAAAATTACCAAATGCAAATCGACATATCGATGAATAAAATTACCCATATTTATTATTCAATATATTATTATATTGAAACGTCTAACTAATTTATTTTGGACCTAGGAAACGAGCCAATAGTCACCACTTTTCCTTTGAATTTTTTTTTATCCTGTGGCTATTTAGAATTGAAGCTGCTAGGAGTACTTACCTGTGAGAGGCATCATGAACGCGAGGAACCTGTCCTCATCCTCCCCGAGGTCGACCATGAGGAGGCGGCCCAGGGCCGTGTACAGCATGCTTCTACATCTCATTTCGGCGGCGCCTACACCCGCTATACCCAGGAACGGGAAATGTTCCGCCTATGTGGAAAAACAACAAACATTTTTTTTCTTTTTGAAAACGTTGCCCCACTCTATGATCTTCTCGTGTATCGTGGGTGCAGTTACAAACATAGAAATTCACATACACAACACACCCAGACCCGAAACAACAATTTGTGGATCACTCAAAGTGTTGTTCCGTGCGGGAATCGAACTCTCGACACGTTGCACAGCAGCCAGTTGCCCAGCCACTGTGATAACCGTGCAGTCAAAATTGATTAATTGATTAATAAACAGTCGTTAGCCGGAGGTTAAGTACCTGCTTCTCAATACTTCTCATGCATGAGGGTTCAAAACCTGGGGGCGTTAGTAATGTGGGAGAGTCATACTTTGGCACGAATGGGTCGGCTCGACCGGAGTGATACCACGGCCTCACAAAAACCAGCGTGCAACAACCACAGCATTGTGTTTTGCCGTGTGAGTGAGGTTACCGGAGGCCCAATCCTTCCTCTCCGGCAATCCCTAAATCTTCAAATCCCTAATCCCCAAAAGTTGGGCAACGCAAATTGCTGTGTTGTTGCGGGTGTCTATGAGCGGAGCTGATTGCTTACCATCAGGTAATCCGTCTGCTCGTTTGCCGATCGACTTATCACATAAAAAAAGTACCAATGTGACTTTTCCCGAGTTATATGTACTTTCTATGATTATTTAGACACCACTGACATACGGTGAAGGTAAACATCGTGAGGAAACCTGGACTTATAATTTCTAATTATAAGTTTGAAATCGCCAACCCGCATTGAGCAAGCGTGGTGATTAATGCTCAAACCTTCTCCGTGTGAAAAGAGGCCTTTGCTCAGCAGTGGGCACTTAAAGGCTGATGATGATGATGATGATCATTGTTTGAAAATATTTGAAATTAGTTATAAAGCAATTTAACTTACAGTATGGTGTGTAAGCATGAACTGGACCTCGTCCAGCTTGACCAGTTTCCGGACACAGGAGTACCCGCCACTGAGGTCGCTAAGCAGACCGAGCGTCTTAGCTATGATCTGCTCAGACCCGCCCCAATACTTCAAGTTTGTGATACTGGAAAACAAATAATAATAATAATTAAGCTAACAAAATCATATCTACCAGTCCATAGCAACACATACCCATAAATAACCCTATAAATTTTTACCACATTTCACAATAGTCCTTCATCAACCGGGGATTGTCCTTGGGTGCACTTTCATAGTGCATACAGGGATAATTGCCGGCTGATGTCCCATCACATTTAGATTAAAACTGTTCGACGGGCCTCTGCGAGTTGCCTTCGGCCCCTCGTACGCCTTCCAAAGGTCCGGGACCCTGTGGTCCCGTGAAAGGAAAGAAGGTGACAAAGAAATATAATGCAAAAACTGATTGAAAAAGAGTAACCGTGAAGTTGCTTGCTCGTTCTTCTCCATCGGAATCTACACTTTGGGACGAGCAAATAGCTTCACTAGAGGACAGACGGACAGACTGGCACGCATAGAGTTAAGCCTCTTAAAATATTTTATTTTTTATTTTTTGCTTAACGTTCTGAAGTGTCTGCTGTGGTCTATTTGAAATAAATAATTTTGACTTTTTTTTTGCTTTAAGGGTACGCATGTTATAAAAAAAGCCATGAGTATAAATGTGGATGGATGGAGAGGGAGAGGGAGACCAAAGAAAATATGGATGGATTGTGTGAGAAGTGATATGGAAGACAGAGGAGTTAGCGATAGCGTGACGAGTGACAGGACAGAATGGAAGAAAAAAACATATTGTGCCGACGCTAATTAAAACGGGACAAGGGCAGGAAGATGATGATAGTCGTATGAGCAATGTGCACAAACATAAGTTGTATTTTAGACTATTTTGAAGCTGTTATTTTCCATTTTCCATGGTAGTAGTAGTACCAGTAGTTTTTTTTTTATGATGATAATTGACGTGTGTAATATTTAGTGTAATATATATCTCCGGCACGAATGGGTCGGCTCGGCCGGAGTGATACCACGGCCTCGCAGAAAACCGGCGTGAAACAACCACAGCGTAGTGTTGCGCTGTGTGAGTGAAGTTATCGGAGGACCAATCCTTTCCGCCCAATCCCTAAACACCAAATCCCTAATCCCCAAAATGTCGGCAACGCACTCGTAACTCCTCTGTTGTTGTGTGTGTCCCTAGAGATCGTACCGTGATTTTTTATAGCCTATAGCCTTCCTCGATAAAAGGACTAACAAACACAAAAATAATTATTCAATCTGAACCAGTAGTTCCCGAGGTTAGCGCGTTTAAACAAACAAACTCTTCAGCTTTATAATATTATAAGTGTTCACGATGCGAGGTACAAGAGAAGAGCGGGAAAGGGAGGGGGAGGGGGGAGCAACGTTCGACAAAGCGTCAACGAGTGACATGTGACAGTGACAATGACGTTGTGCTCAGCGTCGCGCGTCGATTCATTCGTTCGCGACCGTTCGATATACCACTGCGCATTCACGCGTCAGAACCACCAAAAGTAATAATTTGTATCACTTTGGAGTACATCATTTCTTCTCTTCTACTGGTCACGAACAATAAGTAATAAGTATAGATGTCACCGGAAAATAACAAGATCCGTAAGTTTATCAATTTACTAGGAAGTTTATAAACTTTCGTAAGATTCTAAACAGGAGATAAATTGTAATATTTTACGTCCACATTTTCGTAAATTGATAACCTTAATGAACTCACTCGTAAAATAATAAGTAAGCAGTAACGAAACGCTACGCGCGATCTGATTGGTTGGCTGTCACGTGTCACTTCTCCTATTATTTCAAAGTCTATGGACACAAGCATTGCCACTATGAACATTGACCAATCAGAGAGCAGTGTGTTATTTTACTTATTTCAAAGATCGTATATTTAAAAGAGTTTCTGTGATTGGTTGAACCATATAAAATCTTACGAATAGATATTCGTTAGTTTTTTTTTTCTGGCTTTCATGTCTGATGCCGAATAAATGTATTTTCTTTCTTTCTTTCTAGTTTATAAATTTACCGTATGACGTCGGAAATTGATAAATTTACGAAAATGTGGACGTAAAATATTATTAATAACGTAATTTATCTCCCGTTTAGAATCATACGAAAGTTTATAAACTTCCTAGTAAATTAATAAACTTACGGACCTTGTTATTTTCCGGTGACATACATATGGTTTACATGCATGTTTGTTGGACTTACATCTTCCTCATAAGCACGCTCAGAAGCTGGCTCTCGTCAGTGAGCCCCAGCACATCGTTGAGGCGGTGGTAGACCTTACTGTTCTTCTGTACCTGGTCTCCCACGTAGATCTTACGGAACTGTTCGAAGAATGACATCATCGCCAGTTCTAATTTCTCACAACCACCCTGTATAAGGGAAAAATGATAGATTATGAACTTTTCAAAATGACAATTTTTGTGAGGGGAAAATCATTAAATGACTTCTGCCGCCCAGGGCCGGGCGGGAGGGAGTGTCAGACTCTTACTGACTAAAAACCCCTTGTTCCTTCTCCTGCTCTGGGCCGAGGTCGCGGTACCTCATTGCGCTTACCCCGCAACCCCGGCTGAACATCAGCCCTATAGGGCCCCGTCTGTGGTGGAACAAATCTTTGTGTGATCCACAAACTTTTGTTTCTGGCGACACTGAAGTCCAACAGGTGCTTCGGTAGGTTCCTGTTTCGGATCCAGCGAGAGGAAATGCCCGAGTGTCGTCATTGTGAGGACCACCTAGAGGATACGGTGGAGTACTGAGTACTGCCTGGGCTGAGCACCGCCGTGTTCTCGGGGGGTGATCCTGACTTGATCGGTTATTATTATTTTTTTAAACTTTGCCTAACACTAGCTTTTTCTTCTGTATCGTAGGCGCATTTACAAATATACAATTTCACATACACATCACACCCAGACCCGGAACAACACTTTGTGGATCACACAAAGAGTTGTCCCGTGCAGGAATCGAACCCGCGGTTAGTTCCGCGGCAGCCAGTCGGTGGCGGTGAACTCTCGCGCCAGGCCTTAGACGAAGCCCTGGTTCGTAGCGAGAGGGGTAAGGGACCACCACCAGGGACATGACTGACTGTCTTGGATCCCGCAACAAAATACACTTGTGGAGTTGTATACCAGTATTATGCTGATAGGCACCCACCTGAGCGAGCCTGGAGTCAGTAAGGTCCATAAGCTGCAGGACCCTGCAGACGAGCTCCCCATCCATGGCATCGTTTTCATCGCACGTATTCACTGAAGCACGCCCGCCTATCGCAGCGCCGATTATGTATACCAACCATGTCAGTTGACCTGTAAAGCGATTAGTGAAAAAGTATTAGTAAGTAGCCACTATAGAACGGATTTACTGACCGCTCGGCTCTTTTATCGTCAGTTTCGTCGTCAGTATCGTTTATATAATCAGTCAGTCAGTCAGTCAGTCAGTCAGTCAGTCAGTCAGTCAGTCAGTCAGTCAGTCAGTCAGTCAGTCAGTCAGTCAGTCAGTCAGTCTGTCAGTCAGTCAGTCAGTCAGTCAGTCAGTCAGTCAGTCAGTCAGTCAGTCAGTCAGTCAGTCAGTCAGTTTAAAAGACTTACCCTGCAGTATATGTATCTGTTGAGGCTGGGTCTCGACGCTGTAGGCGGCGGCGGCGCGGTCAAAATGGGCGACTAGCAACTGACAAGTCTTGCCGTACTCGCAGCGCCCCACTACTGACAATTGTTCCAATTGCTGCTGGACCGTGCCCACGTCTTCTAGCGGGTCTTCCACACCCTCTCTGAACAAAGGAGGAAATATAAAAATAATGATGATAAGTCATTGTTTAATGATGATAAGTCAAAAAAAACGTCGTGGTGGCCCGGAGGTTAAGGCGCCCGCTTCTTATGCATGAGGTTGCGGGTTCGAAACCTAGCGAGTACCAATGTGACTTATTCCGAGTTATATGTACTTTCTATGATTATTTAGACACCACTGACATACGGTGAAGGTAAACATCGTGAGGAAACCTGGACTTATAATTTCTAATTATAAGTTCGAAATCGCCAACCCGCATTGAGCAAGCGTGGTGATTAATGCTCTAACCTTCTCCGTGTGAGAAGAGGCCTTTGCTCAGCAGTGGGCACTTATAGGCTGATGATGATGATGATGATGAAGTCATTGTTTCAAACGCGAACGGTAACAAATGTGAATTCAAACTATGAATGAATAAATTGCTTGTAAAAGTCAAAGTTAAAATCAAAGATAAGACCCATACAGGCACTTTTGAACGCCAGTCCTCTTACACCCGGTTTCCCAAAGGACGATCAATTGGTTGACTGAATTATCAACAACCAATCAGATGACTTGACAAGAGATTTAACAGGAGATTAGTTAGCCTTTCAGAAACCGGGCGTTAGTGAAGCTATTTGCTCGTTCCAAAGTGTAGATTCCGATGGAGAAGAACGAACAAGAAACTCCATGGTTACTATTTTTTAAATAAAAGAAAAAAAAAACGCGAAGCTGTGGTATCACTCCGGTCGACTTACCTTAGAACGCAGGAGACGGAGTCCAGCCTGGATCCGATGTAAGCAGCGGTGACTCCGGGAGCGTACATCTCCAGGAGATGAGGTTCACTGGCCTTCACGTAGGGAACCGATGCCACCATACGTTGCCACAGAGAGAGGAGGTAGTGTACGGAGTTCGGTGCAAATTGCCACATCTGAAATGAATATTTTTTTATGTATAAGTCGGCAAAACAGTCGACGGATTACCTGATGGTAAGCAATCGGCGCCTTCTATGTACACCCGCAACACCAAACGAGTATGTTGCCGGTCCTTTGAGGATAAGGATTAAAAACTAAGCGTCGCCCTACACTAGGATTTTCTCCTGTGTCGTGGTTGCGTTTACAAACATACAATTTCACATACACATCACATCCAGACCCGGAACAACAATTTGTGGATCACACAAAAAGTTGTTCCGTGCGGGAATCTAACCCGCGACATGTTGTGCGGTAGCCAGTTGCCCAGCCAGCGCGCCAACCGTGCAGTCAAAATTGGATCCCAGATTGGGAGGAATTGGGCCTCCGGTAACCACACTCACACGGCGAAACATACAACAACGCTGTGGTTGTTTCACGCCGGTTTTCTGCGAGGCCGTGGTATCACTGCGGTCGAACCGAGGCTTGGCTCTCTCACACTTAATATTTGACCCCATTTAGTAGCAGTATAGAGTTCAAGCGTGTTATTTTTTATGAACATTTAATAACCGCACAAAATAAAAACTCTTATAGCTTTTAACATAGAGATGATTGTTGCATGTTTTCTTGTAACTCTTGTGAGGTTTTTAAATGTCAATAATTATAAATATAAAATTTAAAAAACCCCTGACTAAAAGTCTAATATTCCTATATTTTTTTTATTTTACTTTTTATAGGTATTTTATATCATTTTCTCTCGATTATGTCATCAACATTCCCTTTCAGTGCGCTTTTATTTGAGACCCTACTCGAGTATATTTGCACACCTTCGGTTACCCCTCCCCACTTATCCCCCCATAACTTCTAAACATCCCAACCGATTTTCGTCAAACATATCTAAGAACACTCGCACGTAAGTCACCTTTAATACAAAAAATATATAAATTGAAATCGCTTTACCCGTTCGGGCTCCAGGATGCCACAGACAGACAGACAGACAGACAGACACGTCAAACTTATAACACCCCTCTTTTTGCGTCGGGGGTTAAAAAATGTAAAAATCATTTATTTCAATTAGACTCTTACAGGCACTTTTGAACGCCAATCAAAATCTTAAAGACAAAATGTGAGTCTGTCGGTCAGTCCTCTTACACCCGGTTTCTGAAAGGCTTGTCAACGCTAAAATTAACTAATCTCCTGTTAAATCTCTTGTCAAGTCATCTGATTGGTTGTTGATAATTCAGTCAACCAATCAGATGACTTGACAAGAGATTAAATTGATTTTAACATTGATCGGCCTTTCGGAACCGGGTGATAGTATCAGTCTGTCGGTCAGTCCTCTTGGTGAAAATATTTGCTCGGTCCAAAGTGTAGATTCCTATGGAGAAGGACGAGTAAGAAACTCCATGTTTTTTATATATACCTGTAAGCTCTGCACGGTGAACTTGGCAATGAGCTCAATGAGCCGAGGGTAGTTGTCGACCATGACTAGCTCTCCCAGCTGGTAGTTGGACTTGAGACGAGCGAGGAGACGACAAAACTCGTGGTAATTCGTCGGATCCGAGAGGCCCTGGAATAAAAACAATCATTTTTTATTTTTAAATATGTTGCCCCACCTTATGGTTTTCTCCTGAGTCGTGGGTGCGGTTACGAACATACAATTCAAATACACTTCACACCCAGATCCGAAACATTAATAGGATTACATGGTATTTTTTTTTAAACAGTAACTATTATTCGCCATAGTAATTTTTTTATGTCATACGAGCAGACGGATTACATGATGGTAAGCAATCAGCGCCACCCTTGGACACAAAGGGGTTACTACAAGGGCGTTGCCGATCTTTTGTGGGTTATAAGGGATTTAAGAATAGAGAATTTGAGGAATGAGGTAAATACATATTCGCTTTCTCTGCCCCTTTATCCCTATGTATGCTTAAATCTTTAAAACTACGTAACAGATTTTGATACGGTTTTTTTCAATATATGGAGTGAATGATGAAGTTCTATATCATTCATCATTCATATATTATAAAGCTGAAGAGTTTGATTGTTTGAACGCACTAATCTTCGGAACTGCTGATCCGAATTGAACAATTCTTGTTGTGTTGAATAGCCCATTTATCGAGGATGGCTGATATGCTGATAAAATTGGGAAGGGGAACGATTTGGCCTAATCGTAACGTCTAACGTCACTCACACGGCGAAACACAACGCTGTGGTTGTTTCACGCCGGTTTTCCGTGAGGCCGGGCGAAGCATGGCTCTCCCACACTTAAGTGATGAAGTTTAAGTAGTTCTTACCTGTGTATTTTCCAAGATCCTTAGTACACCAGCGGCGAGTCTGTTCAAGAATTTGGCTCTCTCGTTGGAGCTGAACAGTGAGCGGCGTACCGAAGCCAGTTGTACCAGACACGCAAGGGCCAGACTCGCCAGAGCGCCGCCCAGTAGATGGTACAACTCAAAGAATAGATCCAGAGTCCCAGACTCTAGGAACGTCGGCCGCCATGATGTCGGGATCTGAAAAAGATTAATTAAAAAATATATATTTTAAGGGATTTTTTCAAATGTTTTGTTTTAGTTTATAGTTAAAAATATATCTTCTATTAGCGGTCGCCCGCGTGGATGTAAATTTTACACTTTTTCAAGATTTTTTTTTTTAATTCAAGACCAGGTTTAGCCAAACCTTCTCCGACTGAGAAGAGGCCTTTACTCAGCAGTATATGGGCAAGGGCATATAGGCTGATGATGATATTGATTGTGTGAAGTAGAAGAATCCAAACTAATATTATAAATGCGAAAGTAACTCTGTCTGTATGTCTTTTCTTCACGACTAAACTACTGAACCTATTTGAGTGAAATTTGGTACAGATATAGTTTGGAACTAAAGAAAGGACATAGGATAGTTTTTAAACCAAAAATCTGCAGGAAGCCACTATTCCACGCGAACAAAAACTAGTAATGATTTTTTTTTTAAGGAATAGGAGGCAAACGTGCCGACGGATGACCTGATGGTAAGCGATCGGCGCCGCCCATGGACACCTGCAGCACCAGAGGAGCCACAGGTGCGTTGCCGGCCTTTTAAAAAGGAGTACGCTCGTTTCATGAAGGTTTGAATAAAATAATCACCTGAACAGTACATAGGTCGTCACTGGATTCATCGCTGGTGGTGCCAATGAAATCGAACGTCAGACAGTTGTGGGAGAGACGTAGTAACGCGGCGACCAAGGCGTGTTGCCTCTCGTCTGAGAGTTCGGGAGCCTTGTCCCTCATCGTCCCGAGGAGGGAACACGACAGACGGAACATCTCGAAGAGTTGCGCGTCTCTGAAAACACAAACAAGTTTATATGTAAAGGATATAGATAGGTCGTGGAGGCCCGGAGGTTAAGGAGCCCGCTGCTCTTGCAGTTCTTGTTCTTGAGTGTTCGAAACCTGGCAAGTACCAATGTAACTTTTTTCGAGTTATATGTACTTTCTATGATTATTTAGACACCACTGACATACGGTGAAGGTAAACATCGTGAGGAAACCTGGACCTATAATTTCTAATTATAAGTTTGAAATCGCCAACCCGCATTGAGCAAGCGTGATGATTAATGCTCAAACCTTCTCCGTATGAGAAGAGGCCTTTGCTCACCAGTGGGCACTTATAGGCTGATGATGATGATGATGATATAGATAGTTTTATAGTTGAATAATCACTAGATTGTTTAAAACAGTCGCATAAAAAAAGTAGCTTGCTTCCCTGTATGTTTGCTTAAATCTTTAAAATTATATACGTTTTTTTTTATCGACAGAGTGATTGAAGAGGAAGGTTTATATGAAAAACATCCATTAAATAGTGGAGAAATTTAGTATCAGCATCGCACCCTTGCAAATCTGGATCGGGTGGCTAGTCTTATATATAAAATTCTGATGTCACAATGTTAATAACCTTACCCTCGGTTTCCGAAAGGCTGATCAATGTTAAAATCAATTTAATCTCTTGTCAAGTCATCTGATAGGTTGACTGAATTATCAACAACCAATCAGATGACTTGACAAGAGATTTAACAGGAGATTAGTTAATTTTAGCGTTGACAAGCCTTTCAGAAACCGGGTGTTACTCTTTCGAAGCGACATCACTGTAGGTATTTGACCAAATTTTGCCTGAGAAATGGCTTCTGGCTGCTTTTCATACCTCTAAGTGATTACGTTACGAGATACAAGTTGCGTTTCCGAACTTTTGAGGATTAGGGATTTCGGATATTTAAGGATTGAGAAAGAATTGGGCGTGGGAAAGGATTGACCTTCCGGTAACCTCATTAACACGGCAAAACACAACGCAGTTGTATCACGCCGGTTTTCTGTGAGGCCGTGGTATCACTACGGTCGAGCCGACCCATTCGTGCCGAAGCATGGCTAGCTCTTCTCTATCTTAAATTAAATAATATTTTTGTGTATATTTACCTGAACCACGATGCGATCTTCCTGTGTTTGGCCAGGGAACGATATGCATCGGCTTCAGAGACCTGGTTCATTTCCACCACCAGCTGGGACAGTAGCTGAACTCCTATCGTGCATAGCTCTTGACTCTAAACAAAACAAGGTTACAGTGTCAGAAGGGAAATAGAAATAGAAATGTATGCTAATACATATTATAAAGCTGAAGAGTTTGTTTGATTGTTTGAACACGCTAATCTCATAAACTACTGGTTCGAATTGAAAAAATCTTTTTGTATTTAATAGACCATTTATAGAGGAAAGCTCTATTTAAACTAGCTACTCTCGAGCAGTTTAACCCACTTCTCAGCTCCTACGGGTCACAGCCTGATGTTAGCCTTCCACGATAAACAATATATTCAGAAAAAAAAATTGTTTAATTAGAAACAGTAGTTTCTGAGATTACCGCGATCAAACAAATAAATTCTTTAGCTTTATATTATTAATGACTAGCAGCTCGTCCCTGCTTCGCAAGGGTCTCATCATCACGCTTACGATAAAAGGGTCCCTATTACCCAACTCTCCCCTCTACTTTTCTAAAATTTTCTTTCATAAGAACCTTCTCCTGGCAATAACACACATAACAAATAAAAAACAGAAGAATTGGTCCAGGCGTTATTGAGTTATGCGCTTACCAACATATTTTGCGATTAATTTTTATATTAAAGACTAGCTACTCTCGCGCGGTTTCACCCGCTGCTCGGCTCCTTTTAATCGTAGCGTGATGTTTTATAGCCTATAGCACTCAGGAACATTGTAGCTTTCTATCAGAGAAAGAATTTTGTAAATCCGACCAGCGGTTCCAAAGATTACCCTCTACATACAAACTTACAAATTTTACCTCTTTATAATATTAGTATAGATTTATTGAGGAAGGATTTAGGCTATAAAACATCACGCTAAGATCTGTAGGAGCCAAGCAGCGGGTGAACCGCTGAACCGTAAGAGTCTGATACTCCTAATGACTAAAAGCCATCCCGTTCTTCCTCCAGCAACAATCAAGACCGCAGTGCTTATTACTATAACCTTAAATACAGGAGTAGTAACTCCACATCTACTTACCCTGAGAAAGTTTGTGATATCATTGATAACGTTGTGAAAAACGTACTCCTCCTTAATCATGTCGAACCAGCTCAGCTTGGTGATGCGAGCGAAAAGCGACACCAGCGCCTACGGACAAAATACGAACTAATTTAACAAAAATATAGTAACATTGCTGAACGGTAAAATTCACTTTTTTATGGTATAAGTCGGCAAACGAGCAGACGGATTACGGATAACGAGCAGATGGTAAGCAATCGGCGCCGCCCATGGACACCCGAACACCAAAGGAGTTACGAGTGCGTTGCTGGCCTTTTGGGGATAGGGGTTGCGGATATAAGGATCGGGAAGGGATAAGGGAAGGGGCGGGATTGGGACTCCGGTAACCTCACTCACACGGCGAAACATAACGTTGTGGTTGTTTCACGCCGGTATTCTGTGAGGCCGTGGTATCACTTCGGTCGAGTCGACCCATTCGTGCCGAAGCATGGCTCTCCACACTTTGTTATGTTATGTAACATTGCTTTACGTTAAAATTGTCTTTTGTATTGTGACAAGTAGGTCCGTTTACAAACAAACAATTTCAGATACACATCACACCCAGACCCGGAACAACAATTTGTGGATCACACAAAGAGTGTAATTGTGTTGTTCCTTGCGGGAACCAACACGCGAAACGTGCAGTAGCCACGTCACCGTGTAATTGACGTTACCGGAGGCCCAATCCGTACCTTCCCAAGTTCACAGTCCACAAGTCGAAATTTATTTATTATATTTTTTTATGTAATATGTCGGCAAACGAGCAGACGGATTACCTGATGGTAAGCCATCAGCGCCGCCCATGGACACTCGCAACAGAGGAGCTACGAGTGCGTTGCCGACCTTTTAGGGATTAGGGATTTGGAGATATAGGGATTGAGGAGGGATTGGGGGAGAGGAAGGATTGGGCCTCCGGTAACCTCACTCATACGGCGAAACACAAAGCTGTGGTTATTTCACGCCGGTTTTCAGTGAGGCGGTGGTATCACTCTGGTCGAGCCGACCCATTCGTGCCGAAGCATGGCTCTCACACACTATTTATTTATTATAAAAAAATAATTTAGGAAGAGTTCGAATTCGGCACGAATGGGCATCCTCGATCGGAGTGATACCACGGCCTCATAAGACATAATACTAGCGTGAAATAGTGCTTGCGTTGCGTTCCATGTGACTGAGGGTAACGGAGGTCCCTCCCTCCGCCCAAATCCTCAAAAACTAGATCCTTTGGTGCCGCGGGTTTTGATAGGCTGTACCGGCTGCTTACCATGAGGTAATCCGTTTTCTCGTTAGATCTATCTACTCCATACAAAAAAAAACATACCTGTACTACAAAGTTGGCCAATTTCGGCCTAGTTGCCAAATAATTGAGGATATAATTCCTGATATCCAAACGCTGTTGAGTTGATAGACTCGCTGTGGACCTAAAAAAATAAATTTTAATTAAAACCTGTCAACACCAAGCTCTCGTTTTATGGGTCTCCACTACGTATATTATATCTTCTTCTTCTTCTTATTATTAAATAAAAATAAAATTCTGTTCGTTAGTCTCGCTTAAAAAACTCGAGAACGGCTGGTCCGATTTGGCTAAATTTAGTATTGAAATATTCCTGAAAGTTCAGGGTAAGTTTAAAGGTTTTCTTTTGTTAATTTTGAGGCGGAGAGAAGTTGCGTTCCGCGCGTGCCTCAAAGAGCCAATAAACCACCACAGACGGGGCCCTATAGGGCTGATGTTCAGCCGGGGTTGCGGGGTAAGCGCAATGAGGCACCGCGACCTCGGGCCAGAGCAGGAGAAGGAACGGAGGGGTTTTCACACTCTCAAGTCAAGTTCATCAAGTCATTTGACGATTTTCCCTTCACAAAAACAAACCGTGCAGTCAGTGTAAGCAAAGGACTTGTAATACATACTTGCTAATTAGCTTAGACAGGGTGGTGGCAGCCAACAGTTGTGAGTAGCTTGAGTCCGCTCGCTCCAATAGAGCCTGGCATTTGCTCAGTGTGTCTGGTGACTCCTGTTTACATGAGAAACATAATATTAATTGTGTTACAAGTGTGTAATGTTGGTAATTGCAGTCTTCGGCTCCTTAAGAATCATTGCCGCTCAGCGGTAATCATCAATACACATAAATGTGAATCATACGACGTTTTTCATCACACTCCTGAATAAAAAAATACTTAAATCGAATTTTTAATTTTTAATATTTATTTTTATTTAGATAACTAACTCATAATTTATACATAGTCATAAATTACATTTATACTTAATTTAGAAATCAAATACATAAGAAGTCGGTAAAAAGAGAAAACTAGACGATTTGTGAAAAATGTTTCGTAATGGCGGGAAAAATTAATCAGTATTCCTTACAATGCGCGCGCATCGGCCATAGACTAAAAAATTATGGGCTTTTCGCGGACAGTATTTTAGCGCAAGTGTTAACGTAACTCAAAAAATAACTGCCATTTTTACGCGTATTAATTACATTATTTCGGCAGGTGCCATAGTCCTTCCATAGTTCCCATCATACCGGTCCACAGCAACCCACACCCACAGCATTATCCCTTGTTTCAAATATCCGCAATAGTCCTACACTAACCGGGGACTGTCCTTGGGTGCATTTTTATGGCGCATACAGGGATAGTCGCCGGTTAGTGTCCCATTTCATTTAGATTAAAGTTGTCTAAAGGGCCTCTGCGCAGTTGGCTCCGGCCCCTCGTACGCCTTCCAAATGACCGGGACCTTGTGGTCCGGTGATTGGTAAAGACATACAAATAATAATAAAAAATACTCTATTACTGACTAGTGAATAATAGTAATGAAAAAGTCACAGTTTGATTATAGGAGTCATTACGTGCCTAATTGCCGTGTGTGTGAATTGAAGTGTGTTGAAAAAATTGTTACATACCTGAAATGCGACGACTGCCTTCTCTGCCTGCTCCCTTACGAGCGGGTCCTGCGACTCGTAAAGCTGTTTGCATAGCAACTCTATTTGTATCACGTCCTGTTGACAAACAAACAAACATACAATTACATACCTTAATTCATCAAACCCTAAGTGAACGCCGGCGTTCGCGCACCTGTTGAGTCTCGAATTAAGTTAATAAAGCCTTCATACTAAGCTACAATGAATTTATTCTTGAAAATAGGCAATAACACAGCACTTTTATACGTCAAAATTAAATGTAAAAACTAGATAAAACCGGCATTTCCTATCTGACTACTATGAGAAGAAATGCCGAAACAAACTCAGAGGTCAGTCTCTTTTCAAGTCCAGACATAAAAAATAACACAATGTGAGAGATCCGTGCAAGTTTATTCTGTAGTGGTCTTTTGATGAAAGAACCACACCAGTTTAAGTGGACCCGTTCTGAAGACAGGCACGCAAGTGTCAGTTTACAACCAGTCCAACTAACGGGTGTTGCTGAGATGTCCGACGAACAATACCGATCAAAAGAACATTTGGGTGGGTCGCGCAAGTACTCAAACTGTCAGAACGTAGATAACTTTATTTGATGAGAGGTAAATCGTCATGAAAACTTCTCCCGTCCAGGGTCAGGCGGGACGGAGTGTCAGACTAACTAAAACCCCCCCGTTCCTTCTTCTGCTCTAGGCTGAGGTCGCGGTGCCTCATTGCGCTTACCCCGCAACGTCGGCTAAACATCACCCCTATAGGGCCCCGTCTGTGGTGGTCTATTGCCTCTTTGAGGCGCGCGAGGAACGCTACGCGCCGTACGCTCGAAAGAATGTAGATAACTAGCAGTCGAAAAGCGCGGCAAATTCTCACACGGATGTTCCCTAATGAAGTCATTTAGTATACCTTTTCAGACAAATTATCTAGAACAACTATGGTTATGTTTTTATATGTGATAGGTCGGTAAACGAGCAGACGGATAACCTGACGGTAAGCAATCAGCACCGCCCATGGACATGGCAACAACATAAAGACATACGAGTGCGTCGCCGACCTTTAGATGAGGAGATTTTAGGATTGGGGGAGAGAAAGAATTGGCACTCCGGTAACCTCACTCGCACGGCGAAACACAACGCTGTGGTTGTTTCACATTTTGTGTATACTGTGAGGCCGTGGTCTCATTCCAGTCGAGCCGTTCTTACGAAGCTTGGCTCTTCCACCAAAAATAACTATACCTTTATTCATCGATCCGTCGATAAACTAAATTTTCGATATTTTAAAGCTAATTTTAAAGAAATAGCTGTTTGAAGCAAAAATACTATGACGTCAAATTTGGAGTTTCATCGTTTTTTGACATTTGAATAAAAGTATTAAATTTGACTAGTTGGAAACTACCGTATTGTTTTCAAATCGTTACTAAGGAATCGATAAGTTATCATTAAACGTTTCTCAGTACCTACAACAGTTTAAAACAAATTACTATCGGGTCTCCATTAATTATAAGTCATTGAACTCAAGCAGTTAATTATTCATTCGAATTAGTCGTGTCCATATGTATAATATAAGGAATAAAGATTAAACTTTAAATGTAAAAGAGCAAAGGTTCGGTACGAATGGGTCGGCTCGACCGGAGTGATACCACGGCCTCACAAAAACCGGCGTGAAACAACCACACACGTTGTGTCTCGTCGTGCGACTGAGGTACCGGACGCCCAATTCTTCCTGATACGCTATCCCTTCCTAATTCTTAAACATCCGAATCCCTTATCCCTCGGCCTGCAACGCACTCGTAATTCCTTTGGTGTTGCGGGTGTCTATGGGCAGCGCTGAATGCTTACCATCAGGTAATCTGCCATATTGTTTGCCGACTTATTCCATAAAAAAATTAAAAGAGGAGCTAATTCTGATATGTCACCGTACTGAAAAGCTTTCATAGCTTCTCTTTTATAACACTGTCCTACATTAGGATATTCTTCTGTTCTGTGTCGTGGGCGCGTTTACAGACATATACAATAGTGTAGTTTCAATACAATAAAATATTGAAAAATAACTATACTTTCATTCATCGATCGATCTATACACTTAGTTTTAGATTTTTTAGCTAATTATTAAGAAATAAGTAAGCTCTTTGACGCAAAAATGTTATGACGTCACAACTCAGTTTTTCATACAAATTTCATAGAAAAGTATCTTTTCTGACGTTTGGATAAAAGTATTGAATTTGACTAGTTGGAAACTACCGTATTTTAAAAGCACATCAAACCCAAACCCGGAACAACAATTTGTGGAGTGTTGTTATTGTCAGCCAGGGTAGCGGTTAAATCACAATAATATACCTTAACCCAGGCCTGAAGGAGGTGGTTTTAGTTCAGTTAGTCTGTTACTGCCTACTGAGATAGCATTAAATGATAATTATCAAAATAAAAAAATAATGTATGGCTATAACGGACTCGGAAACATCCTAACCTAGCTCAACTTAGAAGGATATCTTTTACAATTTTTTATATCAAAGTCAAAGTCAAAATGAACTTAACCATAAATGGGTACGTGTGAAACTTCAATATAGAATAGTAGTCTGTCAGTTGAAGTTGAGTTCAAATGGAGAAGAACTATATCTGTTGTAGTTGCAAATAAAAACTTCTAGTGACTTATAAGTAGATCTTCGCCATATTGAGAGGCCATTCTTATTAATCTATACTAATATTATAAAGAGGCAGAATTTGTATGTTTGTAAGTTTGTATGTAGGGGGGTAATCTTAGGAACCACTGGTTTGATTCCCAAAATTCTTTCACTTATTGATAGCTACAATATTCCCGAGTGCTATAAAACACAGGCTATAAAACATCACGCTACAATCAAATAACACACAGACTAGCTTTCATCCGTGTAATGTTTATTTAAGTTCAGACAAGCTTAGACTTAATGAAAAGAGAAGTGTATTTATAATAATTTTCTTAGTGATGCAGATTAAGATAACAATATTATTACAAATGCAATAATTTGTTACTATGTTAGCTTGTTAATTAATCATGCTATCTAAGCTAAACAGACATTAGTAATGACACAGACATAGGCAGTCTGAACAAACCCTTAAAACGACTTTTTCCACAATATAATATCCCTTGGAACAATTTCTCTGTAAGTTTGGTTGTGGAAGCTTATATAATATTAAGTTATTTATTATTTATTCACATCACACATACAGTAAATAGGAAAACAGAAACAGAGGAACATTGGTACTGTACATTCCTATATGGAATACCTTCCTGGAATTTTTCGAAAGGAAAATGTCAGAGACATAAGACACTGTGTGCAACAAAATAAACACAGGAGAAAGAGAAATAGGTAGTAACAAACTACACAATACTTAAATCTAAGACTAAAACTAAAGCTAGGGCTACACAAATAAAAGAAGTTGGTTAATAAAATCTATTAATTAAGTAAAAGTACAATAATATATTGTTATTTAGAGACTACCGTGAACATTAATTCACTTAAACAGATGTAGCCAGCCAAGGATGTGTAATTTTTTTAACATGTACTTTATCAATCAGCTGATTTTGAAGTCATCGGAAAGGTCCGGTCAATATTTAGTGGCCATACATAATAATAAAGATTAAAAAAAACATGCTAGTCCTAATTATGTTTTAATGTTTCTATGAATTTCCGACACGTAATTAGCATTTTAATATTCTTTTAAATGCATAAATATAACAACAACTCTCGCGCGGTTTCACCTGCCGTTCAGCTCCTACAGATCGTAGCATGATGTTTTATAGCCTATAGCACTCAGGAATATTGTAGCTATCTATCAGTGAAAGAATTTTGGAAATCCAACCAGCAGTTCCAAAGATTACCCCCTACATACATACTTACAAACATACAAACTTACAAATTTTACCTCTTTATAATATTAGTATAGATATTGTTCTTCAAAGAGATTTAAAGGCTATGTTTTAAGATGTAACATTCACTTGACAATAGTTTATTTAATTTTAATATACAAAGAGAGCTTAAGAATTAATAGAAAACAAATGTTGGACTGAGTTTTGAGTCTAGCTTTAATTATAACCTCCTTTTCATGAATTATGTTTAAATCTAGCCAATTTTGATAATTATCATCAGCCAGTTTCCGTCCACTGCCTTTCCAATAAGAAACTACTGAGCTTGATTTTCAGCTCTTCTCAGATTCATGAGTTAATCTAGGTTAACTAGGTATAGGTTTAAACAATAAAAGCTGTGTTTCTAAGTTTGAGGGACCAGGTTTGATGCTTTGTTTATGCTCGTTATTACTAGGTTTTATTAACTAAATATATGTTTAAGAACCTTAATTATGTATTTGTTAATGGAATAGAGTTTATAACTTTTCAATTTTGTCAATTTTAAAAGAATATATTTATTAAATCTGCCTGCTCTGTTAAATGTTACGTTTTTATATTATTATTTCGAGCTAAAACACATCTATCTGCGCTATCACTGATTGCTTTTGTGAGACAATTATCTCAATATTTATTGTCATTCTTACAAACGAAATATTATGAAATAAACATAGTCAAACTTGTTTAATTAACGTTCTACAAACGATAGATGTTAAATCTTAGAAAATATAGAGTTGAGCAAAGCAATTTACAAAACGCACTAGGGGGCCGAATGCATATCAAACATAAGACCCTTTTGATTAATGTTCAAGGATACGTGTGTAAACATAGCGAAATAACCAAAGTGCCGGCTGGCCGGATAACCGTTTAACACATCAACCGAAAACATTAAATAAACATTGTAAGAATTAATAAAAAGCCTAAATAACGCCACAAAAGAAAAAATAACGCACGAAATAACACTTCACAAGCCCAAACACCAAATAATCAAGACGAAATCAATGAAATTTATGGTGGCATCCGAAATAGCTGTTTGCTACATTTATTTGTTAAGTTTTGAAGTAGAAATAAATATAGTATTTATATTAAATTCATATAAAATCATTTAAAAATCATAATATTTTGGTTCTCACCTGTTCTTCAGCCATCTTTGTTATTTTCTTGCATTTGAAATGACGTTTCGTTACATTGAAGTTGTCTTATCAAAATACGTATTGGATGCTTGTTTATTTAAATCTTTAAAACACAGTGTTAGTTATTTTTATTAAATATTACTTAATGAAATAAAGTTAACAATAGATCTAATATTAGTCGATATGTTTCCAATCTATTGCACCATCTAAAAACATGTTACTAATCGAGAAGTTTGTACTGCCATGCAAAAAGTAGAACAAAACGTCACTTTAACAGCAAGATTACTTGAAAAAAATGCGTTCAGTTTTGAATGTTTAGGTTTCGTTTTGCACAAGTAAGAAATTTTATACTTATTATCTTCAATTTAATTAATTCTCTCCTAAACCTCAAGTAAAAAGTTTCAAATAAATATTTAAGTGTCAACTTGTCTAGTAGTGTAGTCACATAAATCAATGTGCATCGCATCGCTATGTCCTCAGAGTAGCAATCGACGGCAGCGACATCTCGCGCCCGACTGGTGTAGGCCGTGGTGCTGGGCATGAGGAATTGGAAAACTTTTTCCTCCTTTCTAACCGACTTCAAAAAAAGGAGTAGGTTCTCAATTCGATTGTATTTATTTTTGTGAATACGGAAAGCCCACTACAACATCCTAAAAACTGCTACAACTCCTGTAAGCCAGGACGTCTCAAAGAAGACTCAGTGACCTACATGCCTGTTTTGGTTCCCTGTGGGATCTAATGTACCTATTATTTGAAGAGATATAGAGATAATTAACAATCTGGTCACTCCTACTCTTATGGATAGCTCTTCTACACTTCGATTGGGACAGTGAGATCCGGGTCAAAACCAATTTGATTGTTGTGAAACTTCGGTCCTCCTGGCAACAAACTAGGAACAATAAGCCGCTCAAGGAGTTTTATTTATGGAGCGTAAAGGGCCGATATGATTGAGGGTCATCGCGGTACCTATATTTCTATTTTTTGGAGATTACACAAAAAAAACATCTTCCGCTACATATTATAGCGATTAAAATTGGGATTTCACCAGTCATTTTTTTTCAGTGTAGATATTTTCTTCAGATTCAAAGTTTTTAGTACCTAGTTACGAGCTTTTTGATAAAAGGAAGGACAGAAAGTAATCGGTGAGTTAGGTGGTATATCGCCAGGAATGAGGGTATCAAGTACCTATGACCTCCTATGTCTCCTCATTACCAGGGATTTCTGGGATGCAGTCATAATCGTGTTCGCAGAATAAGGTGGATGACGTGGGAAAACTTTCTCGCGTCCTATTCATTTGGAGACACTTCGGACGACGGGAATCGTGTGACGATCTCCAGCCACCGTCACCGTAAGCGACTGTGAGCGTCCGAAAGATGCGACGGGTCAATCTGAACGAACAGCGTGTTTCGTTCCGCGCGAGCTTCAATAAGTACTATAGAGATGGAGCCCACTAGGTCTCATGTCCAGCCGGGATTGAGGATGCAAGCGCATTGAGCAGGAGATAGAACTGGAGCAGGAGAAGGAACGAGGTCTCAGTAAGTCTTGGACGTAAAGAAGAGTCTGACACTTCGTCATGCTTCACCCTGGGTTTGAGAATCGTTTAGGTACCTACTCCAATGCAATTAATTTAATTTTTTGTCAGCGCCTTGCTTTGTTACGCCACGAAAAGAACTACAACGGATTTCTTACAAAAAATTGGCAAGAAAAACGTTTGTTTTTCGCTGGGATTGTAGCGTGCTATAAGCGGAGTTGCCATTTTTTAATTTTTTTTTTTACATCAAGTGATAACGTTTAGTTTTCGCACGAACAAGAACAGTATGTTTTATGTTACAACTTATTTAAAACTCTTCCATCAACTATAGAACCTAGAGAGAAATATAACTGGCAGCAAGAAAGTAGAAGATAAAATAAAATTTTCATTGTGTTCAAAAAATAATTACAAAATCTGAACAAAAGCCGTCCTTGTCAAATTTTTTTTTGTTGTACGTACCCTTGTTAATAATTCTGAAATATGTAATATATAATTATTTTCGCTGATTATCATATTATCATAGAAAATTCAATTAAAAAATTTATTAAATGTAGCTGTACAACAATGCTGCGTTCAAATTTTTTATCGAGAATCAAAAAAGTATGCAGTGCTTCATTTGTGCCACGCATTTTACGAGGCGATCAGCGGTTTGCTGCGGCTAAATTTGAAATACGTACGTATTTACTTATTTAATAGTAGTTTTTATTAGCTAGAATTTTACCTGTAAATACCCATCTCCGTATCCCCAAAGAAGATTAATCACAAGCCCTTTCTTAGGGCTACAATACCTAGCTTATCTAGTTGACTCAGTCTTAAGTAAAAAAACACAGTTTTTCGCATTTATTACCTGTGTCTTATGACGATCAAATATTCTCTAGTAGGTACTTACTTTTTTTCCATAATGTTACATGAATGTCATGTTTACATGACAATTCCGTCTAGTGGTATACTCACCAGCGGGGAACGCCTGTATTGAACGTCTAGGGAATGATTGGTCAGTGGATAGTCCAGGGGGCGCATGCGAATATGGGCCCTGTTCCTGACCAAAATTAATACACATAGTATAAACAGGCAGGCGGTAACTGGAGTTTTCTAATCACCTGCCAGCATGTAGAAAAAAAATCATCTATTTGTCTACAATTAAATGTAAATTACTATTCTAAATCGTTTTAAAAAGGAAGCTCAGAATACTGTATTCTGAGAAAGGAAGATAAATGAAAAAAATGGCGGAAAAAGCCGCGAGATTTAAATTGTTACCAATAGAATTTTAGAAGACCGCTCACCTCATTTCTTGTAACATTTTTACAAGTAACTCACGGCTTTTTTCGCTATTTTTTCAGTGTCATGTGCTGCTGTCAGGAGATCGCCGAAAAGCACAAAAGCTACAGATGGGGAGGGAGTGCATGAGACGACAAAAGATGTCGATAAAGTTAACATCGTGCAAACGACGAAGGAACCCTTGCAGGAAAGTGCCAATGCCGAAAATACAAAAGAGAATATGGAACCATTAGTCAATGCGCAAAAAGTACAACTACAAGATCCACAATATGAAAAATGTCGAAGAATTATAGAGCAAGCATTTGGGAAAGATGAAGCTGAAGTAGAATCAACTGAACTGTATTTTACGCATGATGTCAATGCAGAACAAACAAAGCAAGGGATAGAAATGAAAGAAAAGCTAAGTTTGGCAGAAAACTCGATGGATGTCAAAGCACAGTCTGCCCTCAAATATTCACCTGAATTGAAAGATGAACCTGAAGAGCTGATAGAAAAAGAGTATATGGTAAAGGATTGTATGGTACGGTTAGAGCCGAAAACCCTTGATACAGAACCTGATGAAGATTTGATTCTGATAAAGCCAACACTGAATTTGCACTTGCTGTCTGCTAGGGCACCTGACGATTTAATGAAGGATACAGATAATAATATGGAGACAACCAATGAGAATTTGCATCTCGAAGAAAGACCCGCAGAAGACTTAAATAAATATGTCCATAGCCATGAAAATTTAGAATCTTTGTATGGAACACACGAAGAACGAACAAAAACTGCAGCTTATACTATTGACGTGAGTGAAACTAGAAAGGAACAAGAAGAGCCCCCAGTAATAAATAAATATACCGGTTTGGAAAGCGAGGCAAACGTCTCCATGTTAAAAAATACATACTTGCCTAATGAAGCTGATATGGACATCCAACCACTACTACGCCATAATGCACCAACAAAAACTGCACCTAATACTATTGACGTAAGTGAAATTGGAAAGGAACAAGATGAGACCCCAATAATAAATAAACATAGCAGTAACGAAAGCGAGCCACCAATAATAAATAAACATAGCAATTTAGAAAGTGAGACAAACATGTTAAAACAATTATACTTGCCTAGCGCTACTGATACGGACATCCAACCACTCCTTCGCCATAATGCCTTTGTTAATGCAACAACTGCAAAAGAGGAACAGGAAAAACTTAAACAGAAGGTGGAAGATATACAAGAAACACCATTAGTGGAAGTTCAAAATGAACCTATTGAAGGATTCAATGTAACTCCAAGAGTTTTGGGAGATTTAGAACAAGCCTACAGTTGTGTTAAGGAGGACCGTGCAGATAGCATGTCTGGTGGGAAATCTAGCGGTGTGGAATCGAGCATAGATGAAGCGGCGAAACGTTGTCTAGACAGTCCATTTGGTCAAATTGACAAAGCACTCCTCAATGAACTGGAAAAGCTTGGCATCCCCACAACCTGCAAAAGTGACCAAAAACGCTCTCCATTTATAGATGACAATCGGGTCCAGATGAACATATTATATAGCTACTCAAAGCTAGACCCATTTGAGGACGACGAAACTAGTATATTATTTTCAGAAAAACTATACCCAGGACATCCTATGATCAAAGAGATAATACTTCCTGACAAAGACGCCGAGGCTCAAGAAATAGCCGCAAAACTAGCAGCTGAAAACGAAGAAGAGGACAGTTTGGCAATGTACCCAAGCCATATGCATATAGATAAAAATTACGATCTAAAAACACTAATGACAAAATTAAGATCTGACTCTATTTTCCCAGATGTGGCGAAGCCACAAGAAGTAATAAAGCAACATGATATTAATATTCAACAAACACCACAAGCTTTACACTTTGATCCTGCACAGATTTCTTCAATTAGTGAGGGAACGACTACAGATGCTCTCACGGATGTACCTCCGAAACAGGCTTCATTCCAAGAAACAAACCTTAATGTGAAGGAAACCGAAATAAACGAAGTATCAGATAACAATGAACCAAATGAAAAATTAAAAACACAAAAATTTTATGCTAGACCAGGCACAGAAGCGGAAGAACTGGCTTCCGAAGAAGAGCCACCTGTAACTAGACCAAACTGTAAGAATGTTACACAGACGGACATGTCAGTCGAAATTCAAGAAATAGATAATGTATCAAAATCTGTAGCAAATTACATGGCTCCTCCTCCATTACAACGACCAAATAAAATCAATTCAAATGTATCAGATGGTATTTGGGATGAAAACATTGATGCATTGACCTCAAAAGCGAAAAGAACTCCACCAGAAGAGCTAACAAAACCACAAACAAAATTAGATCCTTGCTGTGTGTTTTCATGCAGCGAGACCTGTCCTATTTCGCCAAATTCCTCGCCAAGCCATTTAATAGAATCTACAGAGGCTATATTTGAAAACCAGCTAAAGAATCCCGAACAAAAAGATGGTAAAAATCAAGATCTCTTTATGGATGTGAATATTCCAGCTCAAAGCAGCGTAAAGCAGGAGACTTTATCACACGCTCTCAGCAACTTGCCCAAGTTGGACGAGGATAATATATCGATGTCAGAGCTCCTAAGAAGAGTGAGGGAAAGAAGCAAAATAATCGAGTATACGAGTAGAAATGAATTGAAGTCTATAGCACTTGATGTGGACCCTATCCAGGCTCAAGTGGGTAAGTGCCCTAAGAAGGCACCTCACTGTCTGCCTACGGCGCCCAGGCCACCGAAAGACCCAATACCTCCGCCCCCCTTCGGCTTACCTCAACTCAAGCCGCAGCCACCTGCCTGTAAACCCCGAAAACCTCGCACGAGAAAATACTCAACCTGTGATCTAGATCTGTCATCTGGTTTACGTCTGTGGCCAGAATTCAACGCCCCAGTAGCAGAAGTGCATGCGGAAATGATTCATGAGATGAAGAATATGGGAACTGATATGTGCGCTATTCGTTTGAAAGCTGATTTGACGGAGCAGGTGATTGAGAGACTTGAGACTTTGGGCAAGCTTCTTGGAAGACTATTAGGCCAGAGGAAAGAGGATTGGATCACTGAAAGTAGAAATCGTCCAGGGTCCATTAAGACGATGTTGGCTAGAGACTATGCGCCGTGGGTGCCGATTCCGTCTTGGCCAGCTCCAAAGCAAGCAACCAAGAGGAAGCCACCGTGCGAGCCTGGCTGCCCAATCCGTCCACTTCCACTGGGCAAGATGAATCCGGAACCGCCATGTAATTTGAAGCCCTGTAAGGGGTTTCCTAAGAAATCATTCTCAATAATAGACGGTTTCGTTGTTTCGGAAAATAAGGTGTACGATATTGGGAAATTCTGACGGGTTTCTGACGGGTAAAAAAAAATTCGAAAGAATATCTAGTTATGGTAAACAGCGAAAATAAATTCGATGGTTTCGTATAGTTATTGTTTCATTTATAAAACCTTCATAATAACATTTAATGGCATTACTTTAAAATGTTATTCTTCCAGGGAGGCCCAATCCCTCCCCCTCCCCCCATCCCTCCCAAATAAAACTCCGGCAACGCATACGTAACTCCTTTGGTTGGGTGTCCATGGGCGGCACTGATTGCTTACCATCAGGTAAACGGTCTGCTCGTTTTCCGACCTATCCCATAAAAAAGGGTGAACTTCCTCTTGCGAGCCAGTCCAGTCAAATTCCCCGAGCTCTACCACCGTCACTATCACAATGTAACCTTAATCATACGTCATAAATATTCTGAGGTTATAAAAAATAATTAGTTATTCAGTTCACAGATGTGTACGTGTGCAGCTAGTTAGTATTACATAAAAACAGGAAAATATAGATTGTATTTGCAAATAGGAGATACCCGCATCATAAATCTACAATAATACACACAATTTTTTTTTTCTTATAAAAAACGTTGCCCCGCACTAGGATTTTCTCCTGTGTTGTGGGTGCGTTTACAAACATATAATTTCACATACACATCACACCCAGCCCCGGAAATTTGTGGATCACACAGAGTTGTTCCGTGCGGTAATCAAACCCGCGACACGACGCACGGCAGCCACCGCGCCAACCATGCAGTCAAATCAATTTATGACTGATTTTTCAATGGTTAGATAAAGAATATTTGTATAAGACAGTGACAGCAACAATTTTATTCCTCAGATAACATTTATCTGACTATTGAAAAGTCAGACTATTGAAAAGCCGAATGCGGCGCCCTAGTTACTACCAATAGAGTAAATGATTTATGATGTCGTTATACAGATCTACCAACCATAAACTTGCATTTTTATGATCATAATATTTTCTCCAAAGAATATTACCGGAGATTTACTCCGCAGAGAGGAGTGAGTAATGAAATGCCTTTTCTTGCCCAGTATGAGGCTATAGACCACTAAAAACCACCCAGTCCCTATCCTACTCTCTCCAAGGCTTGACCCACAATCCCGGTTGAACATGATCCCAGTCTTAGTTTCTGAGCAAGAACGTGAACCTGAACATGTTCGTGAACATTATCCTTGGCTTTTGGTTCGTTGGTTGGGGTCTACCGCCCTCGGGGAAGGGCGAAGGGTATTGTCAGACTCTTACTGACTAAAAACCAACCCGGTTTTCCTCCAATTACCCATGTGTCGGAGGGGCGGGTATCGCCGATGCATTCGTCGCAGCCCCCCGACGGGTATTGGCCCGCCAGATGGTTAGGCGGGCCCCGTCACCCACTGCGGCCGTCACCCCAACCGCAGGACTCCACTATAAGGCGCGCACGGAATACGGCGCCGCCGCCTCGAGGCCTGCTGCTGGTCGGCCGACTAAACGTGGGGGTCTAGTTTGATCTGGCTTCGAACTACCTATCTTTTTTTTTGGAAAGGACATAAAATGCATGTGCAATGCAACGGGCAATAACTGTAATAAATGCCTTTGTTTTTTTTTATGAATATGACCATAGGTGGCCATGGGGTCAGGAACTTTCGCGGTGTTCAGCCAAACGTTGAACTAAAAGGCGAGAGAGTGAATTCGGTGTAATATGAGATAGTGGAGTGAGGATTCGAGGGACTTCCACCACCAATTGATCTTGTACGTTTAAGAAAATGTAGGGGCATTCTAGATATTGCCAGAAAAAAAAACAAAACTATATTATCTATAAGTACCCGGAATTTTAATTAGATTCCAGATTTGACAATTTCAGTCTTCCAACGTTACGACAAGTACCTACTAAATAGTGACGTTGCAAAATTATTCGATATATGGAAATAGTTTTTTTGTGAATCTATTCCTCTCGTTTATAAATTTACTCTCGTTAACTAAGTTTATAAGGAAATTAAATATTTCTGAACCGATAATTTAGTTTTGTCAATTAATTAACGATCCGATACTTTTGTTTTATGGTGTGAAATAAGTATAAAAAAATGTGATCATGAAGGAACATGACAATTTCATATTTTATTTTTATAAATTGTCGCCGTCATCGCTATCGCTATCGCTGTAACTTTCTGTAACATTTTATATGAATTGTGTCTGTGATATTTATTGTCAATTAACATATCTAGCTTACTCATTTTTTCCTCTTCTTAGACAATATGTGAAACGCATTTAGATCATTCGGTAACCGTAATTTTTGAATGCCTTCCTGAAACTGATTCATTGATTGTTTATCGATTTTTTGTGTTCATCACTACACTTATTATGTGTTGTAAAGAAAATAAATTAATCAATTAAAATAGGATAAAAAAGCGTTAGGTACAGATTACACCAACCCTCACTTATGTAGAGAAGGCCTACAGTCTAAAAACCTGTTGAAAGTCAGTTGATAGTGAAATAGAACCTTTCACTATCTATATATTCCTGCTTTTGTATTCGTAATAGGTAGTCAAAAAAGTCAAAAAGTCAAAAATCATTTATTTCAATTAGACCACAGTAGGCACTTTTGAACGTCAAGCAAGCAAAAAAGGAAAAAAGTATATAACAAGAGCTTTAAAATTAAGCGTGTCAGTCTGTCCGTCTGTCCTCTAGTGAAGCTATTTGCTCGTTCCAAAGTGTAGATTCCTATGGAGAAGAACGAGCAAGAAACTCCATGGTTACTCTTTTTCAATCAGTTTTACAATACATTTCTTTGTTACATCATTTAGTCGGTTCTGATATGTGAGAACAATGTAACACTAATGTTCAGGCAAAAAGTACGAAAAAGAAGTGAACCTCAAGGACAACATATTTAGACAGCCTGGAGATGACCAGTCCCAATAGGCGGCGCCCGTTCACGAACATGACACGTACACCAGCACCGCCCAACTCAACCATATTATAGGGGATTGGACGATCCAGTGCCCGTGCCACCGCCAATGAGACCTCTGAGTGAGCATGACAGCTCCCAGCCGACACAAGTACCTATATTCTACAAGTCTTACTTAATTATAATAGGTTACAGGGCACTCACATTTACAAAATCTTAGAAGTTCATCAACAATTAACAACATAGTGCACAATTTAATAATTAAAATCAAAAAAAATACTCTAAACATCCTGTGGAGTAGGACTAGCTAGCCTCCAAGCATTTTTATCTTGTATATAATCATTTAGTTTGTAGTATGCTAGTTTACATAAATGTTTCTTTATACATAAGTAATTTAAATTGGCTTTCATTTAAATTTTGTACATCAAATACATATTTTTATTCACCTTGTTTCAGTACAAAATGAAGACTCGCCGATTCTAAGCAGAAGCTTTTTCCAAACAGAATGGACAAAACCGAAGTTTGACGTTAGCAAGCCTTACACTAATAAGAGGGACAATGATACCGAACGATCTTTAGATGCTAACGAAAAACCGGAGGTCAAAGAAGCTGATTCAGAACTCAAAACAGCGAAATTCCACACTCATCCTAACCTCAAAATACCAAATTGTTGCCACATTAAAAATGAAGTGCCACTTACACTTGGGCATTTGAATTTACAACGGCTACTCATGCCGCCAATGGCTGCTGTATCTTTTGTCCTTGTCAGACATTATTCCGACCAAGATGTTTTTTGGAGACCAAATAGCAGGATCCCGAATGAGGCAGAATGGATTAAGCGAATGCAGAATCCATTGTACAGAAAGGAGGCGGAAAAAGAAGTGAAATATTTATTATTGGCGTATGGTAATAGCAAAGCCGTGCCACACAGAAAAAGGTCGAAAACTAATTTGAATCCACCGAAAAGTCAGAACGCAAATGTCATTAATGCTAAATTTTAATTGATTTGTTTATTTTATTATGATTTTCTAATAAATAGTTGGTATTTGGGTAAAGTGAGTACTAGATATAAAAGTTTTTGAAAACTGCATTTTGTTTTTCATTATCGCTCTTCCTGTATAAGTGTTACCTTAGATACTCAGATTTGTTTAAGATAGACCACTGCTGAGCAAGGCCCTCTTCTCACATGAAGAAGGTTTGAACATTTCTCACCACGTTTCCTCAAAGCGGATTGGCGATTATAAACTTAAAAGAAATTTATAAGTCTAGGTTTCCTCACGATGTTCTCCTTCACCGTATGAGAGTGGTGTCTAAATAATCGTAGAAATTATCTACCTACATGTAAATCGGAGAGTCAGATTGATACTTGCCAGGTTTTAAACCCTCATGCATATTTTTGATATGATATATTTTGCAGCTAATTTTTTGTTAACATGAAACCAGAATGTTTAAAAGTTAGTATTTTGACATTTCAAATGTTTTACCTTTTTAATCTCCTTTCCAATGGCCATAAATAAAAACATGTTACCAGACGCGCATTTAGAATAATGATCGAAAGTACCTAAGCACCCCTTGTAATTTTTTATTCAGCTTCCGCCCCTCCGCGACTTGGCATCCCAGGCACTTGCCTAGTTTTCCTTAGAAGCAATACGTCTCTGCTTATAAGAATATAAGTAAGTATAATAAAAAGAAAAATATCTCAACAATAACGTAGGTAGCGTTTCCTTGTGCTTAGTAATGGGTGAATCCCTGAGCGAATGTAAAACATTTTTGCAAACATATGAGACGAATGATGAATGTGATAGCGCGCACACTACGATAGGATTTTCACCCGCGTAAGAACAAAATACTGATGAACCGTGAAATGGATGAATTTTTCTCCTTTATGTCATAGGCACAAGCCATGCTTCGGCACGACTGGGTCGGCTCGACCGGAGTGATACAACGGCCTCACAGAAAACCGGCGTGAAACAATCACGGCGTTGTGTTTTGCCCTGTGAGTGAGGTTACCGGAGACCCAATCATTCCCCTCCCCAATCCCTAAATCTACAAATCCCTAATCCCCAAAAGGTCGGCAACGCTCTAGTAACTCATCTGTTGCGGGTGTCCATGGCCGGCGCTGATTGCTTACCAGCAGGTAATCCGTAAGCTCGTATAGGTCGGCTAACGAGCAGACGGATTACCTGATGGTAAGCAATCAGCGCCGTAATACCAAAGGAGTTACTACATGCTACAAGTGCGTTGCCGGCCTCTTGTGGGTGGTTAGGGATTTGAGGATAGAGGATTTGAGGATTAAGGATGGGGGAGACGGAAAGAATAGAGCCTTCGGTAACCTAATTTACACGTGGTATCACTACGGTCGTGCCGAAGCATGGCTCGCTTAAATTGATGAAATTAATGGAATTTGAGGGTCAATAGATGCAGAAAGGGGGGAAATAGATAGGTATCTAAAACAATTTTTCGGGCCTGGAGCAGGGGAAGACATAGGGGAAGAATATGCCGATTATAATAATAGTTATTACATTATTTTCATTGCTTGAGATCGTGCGATACTCACAAATCAGCCTGCCAGTACTGCTATGACCCTCTGAGACACGCACCAGTTGGCCGCCACCTCAGATTAGGCGCCCATACATGGGGTTCAAAATCCCCAAATACAACCTCCGGCAGGTTGACCAATCAAGGTAAGATACTGTTACGTGCCTGACGTCACGTTCCTGACTATGCGGGCTTGAGTTCGGGATTGGATGAAATGAAACACTAATACCGGTTTTCAGACTTTCTATTGCACTTAAGTTACAGCGTCCACGGAGTTAAGTTATCGGCGTTCCTCTCCAACAGAGTCCGGCCGACTGACACAACTTTGCCGTTCACGCTGACTTAACTGACTGCACTTCACTATTTCACTCACTTTTCTTCTTTTTCACTTCTTCCTTTTCTTCCGAATCGCTTTAGACTTAGAACTCAACTGCCAGCGGTGAGCCGCAGTTCCGCTTATATACCCCCGGTTCAGGTTCTGGAACATTCAATTTCGTTATTCTTTTTGATCGTCATGACTCCAGAACCTTCCAATAATTTCGTTACTCATTTTTATTTATTCTCCTTCTCGCTCTTTAATTTTTCATTTCTTTCACACAAATAATTCCAGAAAGTTCCACAAAACTTCTATCAACTAAAAAACTACATGTTTACGGCGGGACTCGAACTCGGGGTCTCTGTGGTGTAATCCACACGCCTTACCGATTACACCAACTCGTGTTGACAATTCACGACGAAATTTACAATCTCTAGGCAACGTTTGACAACCATCCATTGACGTCATGATGTCAAAGAGTTTGAACCACTTTTCCGTCACACTACCCCCCTCTTAGATTCGCTCGTCCCGAGCATCGTTGCTGCCGTAATACCTCGCCAACCTGTCTATATGGACAACTTTCAAAGGGCTCTTTGAAGTCTTCCGAATTCTGTAAGTAATGTCATTGATCTTCGTGACTATCTCATAAGGACCTTCCCAACTCGGTTGCAGCTTCGGAGATTTTCCCTTCCTTCTGACTGGATTATGAAGCCAGACCAATGACCCCTCTTCTAACCCAACAGAATTGGCTCGTCGATCATAGCGCGTCTTTGCGCGATCACTAGCTTGAAAACCGGCCTCCCTGATCTGCTCATAAATGTCCAACATTTTTGCCCTTAACTCGCTTATGTAATCGCTAACTCGGTGCGAGAGTCGCCAGGTGGACAGCCCGATACAAGATCTGCCGGTAATCTCAATTCCCTTCCAAAATTTGCAAATGCAGGCGTCTTTGCGGTACTTTCATGTACAGCAGTCCGATAGGCAAGCAAGAAGCGAGGTATGTAAGTGTCCCAATCTCTCTGATGGCTGTCAACCACCTTTGCTAAGTGTCGCTCCAATGTTTGGTTGAGCGTTCGACCATTCCATCTGACTGTGGATGATAAGGGGTCGTTCGAGTCTTATGGATTCCCAAAAGTTTACAAGTTTCCTGAAAAACTTGGGATTCAAAGTTCCGTCCTTGATCACTGTGCATCTCCACGGGTACTCCAAATCGGGTGAATACTTCGTTTACCAACTTCGTCGCTACAGTTACTGCCTCTTGATTCGGTATGGCAAAGACCTCCGGCCATTTTGTAAAATAATCCATAACCACTAAAACGTAGCGATTGCCCGAATCAGTGATTGGAAATGGTCCAGCGATGTCTAAGGCTATTCTCTCCCAAGGCATACCAACATTGTAGATTTTTCATCGCCCCTCTGCTTCTTGTTTGTGGACCCTTGACAGCTGCACAACTAGTGCATTTCCGGCACCAATCTTCGACGTCATATTTGCAATGCAACCATAAAACCTCTCCTTGATCTTCACCAAAGTCCTCCTAATTCCCAAATGTCCTCCAGAAGATCCATCATGGAACGCTTTTAATACATCCCTTATTTTTGAACGAGGCACCACCAATTGCAAATGCTCGTCCTTGCCGTTGTTGATTCCCATTTCCTGCACAGAAGTCCGTTATGCAGCGTAAGGCTTTTCCACTGTGCCCATAAACCTTTCGTTACCGCGCTATATTGGGCGACGTCACTCCAACTTGGCTTGTTACCACTCGTAGCCACTCCAGTATTGGTTTAATATCTGCATCTCTTTCCTGTTCTAATTTCATCGCATCATCTCCCCATGCCTCGTCAACAGTATCAGTCCTTATCACCTTAAGAAAAGCAGTTTCCTTCTTGGCACAATGCTTGCAATCTTCCACGCATGGGCGTCTCGATAATGCATCTGCGTTGCCATGAATTCTTCCGCCGCGATGTTCGATTTCAAAGTCAAATTCCTGAAGTTGTTCCAACCATCTGGCTACTTGGCCTTCGGGATCCTTAAACTGAAGCAGCCATTTCAAAGCAGCGTGATCAGTTCTGATCAAAAATTTCCGTCCCAGTAAATACTTCTTGAAATGGTGCAGGGTTTTGACTACGGCCAGCAATTCCCTCCTGGTCACGCAATAATTCCTCACCGGCTTCGATAGTGACTTGCTGAAGTAAGCAATAACCTTCTCCTGCTCACCATCGCGTTGTGAAAGGACACCTCCTATTCCAATATTGCTGGCATCCGTATCAACTACGAATATTCCTTTCGCGCTGGGGTATCCGAGAATTGGTGTGTTACAAAGCCGTTCTTTTAGTTCTCGAAAGGCTTGCTCACAATCCTCGTCCCAAACAAAGGCACGTTTCTCCTCTGTCAATCGATGCAATGGCTTGGCAATGTCCGAGAATCCTTTCACAAACCGCCGATAATACGAGCACAATCCAAGAAATGCCCGAACTTGCGTTTTGTCTTTAGGTGTTGGCCATTCCTTGACAGCGACAGTCTTGGCTGGATCAGTCTCAATTCCTCTCTCAGAAATAACATGTCCTAGATAATTCACTTCGCGCTTGAAGAAAGAGCATTTCTTTGGACTCATCTTTAAATTTGCTCCACGCAGCTTGTCGAGTACCTTTTCCAATTTCCTTAGATGATCGTCAAAATCCCGTCCAACAATGATGATGTCATCGAGGTAAACTAGGCAGGTTTCGCCCAGCAGTCCCGCCAGCACCTGTTCCATCAAACGCTCAAAGGTTGCCGGTGCATGCATAATCCAAATGGCATCACCTTAAATTGCCAGAGTCCCTTCCCAGTTGAGAATGCGGTCTTTTCCTTGTCCTTGGGATCCAAATCCACCTGCCAATAGCCGCTTTTCAGATCGAGCGTTGAAAACCATTTCATGCCACTCAGTGTGTCAAGTGTGTCATCGATCTTGGTAACGGGTAGCTATCCTTCTTGGTTACATCATTCAATCGTCGATAGTCTACGCAAAACCTCGTTGAACCATCTTTCTTCTTGACAAGCACGACAGGTGAACACCAAGGGCTAGAAGAGGGCTCTATCACGGCATTTTTCCTCATATCGTCAATCATTTCTTCAACCTCTTTCTCACGAGCGAATGGTATGCGTCTGGG